ATACTTAGGATACAACATATATTATGTTATAAATCAACATATGATATCTTATAATACCTTGTGTGTACATTAGTATTAAAATATGTATTATATAGCGACAGCTACAGTGAATGTAAAATTTGGTATTGTGCTGAATAGCACACCGTCTATTACCGGACAGCACACCGTCTATTACCGGACAGCACACAGTGTTACGATAGACAACATATAATACAAATACAGCACTTGACTTAACAACATATGATATATTCTCACACAGTACATACAATACTTGATTTTAAAGCATGACATACTCTCATACAGCATACGTTATAATTATAAACAAACAGCACATGCTTTTATTACATACAATATATGTGTTGTTTGTAATAAAAGCATATACTACTTGATGTGTGCTGATATATATATATATATATATACATCTAATATTTTGCAAGAAAGTTGGTTAGGGGAAAAGCTTGATTAGATGTCTCGATCCAAGAATATTTGTTATCTTATAACTGCTAAATCCTGCCATAGTAAAGAGATTTGCCCACTCTTTCTCACTTCTTTTTTTCCCAGAAGTGCAAATCATCATCTGCATATCGTACAACAGCTGAGCTTCAGTTAAGTCGTGACCCAGCAAAATATCTACAATCATCACCTTCCCAAACCTCTCTTTGCTGGGGATTGCTGCTTTGCAATTCTTCAATATTTTGACACATTTCTCGTCGGGCCAATCGTGCAATATCCACTGCAATTATATACTGAAATTTTTACTACCGAACTGTTTTATCAATCTCATATTCAAAATTAAACATCTACAAGACAAAGTGAATAAGTTAATTATCTTAATTTACAAACTCAGTACCTGAATTTACATACAATTTTAGTTTTATATTTTGTTGTAAGTATCACAAAAATGAGATAAAAAAATTAAGACTATTTAAATAAGTACAAATTGGGTAGCTAGATAGCAATATATTAGATGATGTCCATTTAGGTAAATGAAATTATACTAAAAAACATGCAATGTAATTGATCAAAATGGGTTATAACGTGGGCTAACAAACAAACACAGTCCACCATATTATTTTAATAACACATTAGTTATATTAACATAATATAAACACAAATATATAACAATTAATTTTAGCAAATGATATACTCATATATTTCTATACAGCAAGTGTTATAAGCATAAAACTTGCACATGCAACAAATAGGGAGACCTTACCTAGACTCTGACACCATATCGGATGCTAATGATCGTCTCACCTAAAAGCTTTAACTGTTAGGGAAACTAAATCATTATTCACATATCCGCAAACGAGAGTCCCAACACAATAGGTAAACGAAATATAAATCAACAATACAAGATATATTGATAATATAATACATATTCAAAATATATGTTCATATTTTATTTTTATTTTTTTTTTATGAGCGTGAGAACTCGCAGCCGAGTATGCACTGGATAAACCCCCGGTCGAACCTAATACCCTGCAAATTAGACCTAACACCCAAGTCACACCCCTAATCATTTCTTTTTATTTTTTCGGTAGATATAACTTATGGTGTGTTTGTGTTTAATTTAAATAAAAAATTATATTATTTCTTATATGATTTTCAATAAAAATGCATTATTCAATCAAAATGCTTCATCGGTCATCTAAATATATTTTTTTTTATCATTTAAATTTATTCTCATTTCCCTTTATTTGAATATTTGTGAAAAATAAAAATTACATATTAACCTAAAAAGAGAATGCATATATATTGGCATGTGAGTCCTAAATAACAATATATAAAAAATATGTTAATATCCTCTTAATATTATGGTATTTTCTTAAGTAGAAAAGTACCATTTTTGTACATTTTCTTTAGGTTAAAAAGTTAAAAAAATTATTTTTACCTATTTTTTTTTAAAACACGTGTCTCTGGTCAAACGAGTAGTATTTATATCATAATTCAGTTTTATATGAATACATATTCTAATTTAAAGTTTTAAAACATACCCTATAGTATCCCAGGGGCGGTATTATGTGTGGCCAAGACTGGGCTTCAGCCTCCTTCCCATTAATTTTTTGTGGGCTAAGGGTAAGGGTGGCTTCAGCTTCCCTTTCATTTATTTCGTCCGGACAAGTAAAAAAGAAGTAGAGTAAAAATTATTTTTGGTCTCATTCAATATTATAATTATTAATTTTGTTCTTATTTTTAAAAAAATTATTAATTTGGGTCCCCACTCAAATAAAAATTTATCAATTTTAGTCTCAAATCGGTTGATTAGGACTGAACACGACCGTATTGGCTTGAACACAACCGTGTTGAATGACTCAAAAGGTGACTGAACGTCCTAGGAAGCCAACACAGCCGTGTTCCCGCCCGTGTTCTAAACACAGACATGTTCCTGGAACTATATTTAACTTTTTGACTTTTGCATAAAATATTGTATCTTTTATTATTATTTTGTAGGAATTACAATTGGAAATATTACGGGATGAATTGAGCGAAAATAAATATATATACAAAGTATTAAACACAAAAATATTAAAATCATCGTACAAATTTCAAAACTAATAAAATATTACTTCTTTCGTCCTGAAAGAATAGGTTAATTTGTATTTAACACAAACTTAAAAATTATTGATATTATATTGATAGTTAGTACAATTTTTTTAAAAAAAAAAAAGAAAATTGCTCTTATAAGTGTGTTTTAATTTAAGTGTAGAAAAGTGGTAATATTTATGTAATAATAATAATAAAATATATATATATAGTTACATAGTATTAATTTGAAACGTGTTGAACATAACTATTAAGTCCGAAGGGTGGGAGTATTGTTTTTATATCCAACTAAAGTTACTAAGGTGTGTTTGTTTTGTATTTTGATTTGAAGGAAAAAAATTCATGTGAGTTATAGAAAATTGTGTAGATAATATATAAAAATAATAAGTATGTGTAATATATTAATTTTTTTTTAAAAAAAAATTGGTTGAAAATTTATTACAAAGTAGGAATTGGGGTTTGATATTCTAATAAAAAAAAATATATTATATGATATAATAAGTAAGAATAAATATTGTAATACTCTTTGTCCTACTACAATGAACACTATTTTTATTTTTGTCTATCCTATAATAATTAACATATATATCTATTTTTTTGGTAAAATTTACCAAAATTAAAATATACTTAACAATTATAAATAATTAACTATGTAAGATATAATATCATCATGTAAACTCATTCAAAACTCTTTTATTTATATATTTCTCTTTAAAAAATATACATATATTTATCTATATTTAAAATTTCGCATCTTTTATAAAATTAATTTATGTTAGTTATAAATAAATAAAAGTATTTTTTTTATTTACTTCTATTATAGAATTTTTTTTTTACAAAATTATATTCATATTGTATATATTTTTTTTGCGATATAATTTTTAAAATATTTAAAAATATATTTTAATTTTTTTTTAATCATATACTTCGTCCATCTCATTGAAATGTTGTCATTTTCTATTTTCGTCAGTTTTAAAACAAATTACTATTTCATAATTTAATAATTGTACTATATATTTAATATAATAAATAACCTTCCAAATTACAATATATTATTATAGAAATATTATTACTTTTATATTATACAATCTTAATAGGGATATTTTTGTCTTTTTCAACTACAACCCAATATAATACTAATTTAAAAAAAATTATGTGCAAATAGTAAACAGTAACTTTTCAATTGGACGGATTGAATATGTTAAATTTATTTTAAAAGTGTTGGATATTCGATCAGTCCCCAAAGAGGTCCAACGTCTCTGATCTATATACGCAATGAAAATAAAAAACCGTCGGTGGATTGCACAGCTTTGAATGAATGATTGTCGCGTGGTTATAACGGCATTATGTGTTTGTGCACAGATCGATGACTAAATAAGTGCAGAAAGGAAACAATACACAAAGTTTGTTTACCCAGTTTGATTTTCCAACCTATATTCGGAGGATTCCAATCCAGGAGTTTTAACTAAACCAAACACTTGGTTTACACCGTATAACACATCATACAAAATTACTCAACCTATTTTCTACCCAAACTTCATTTAGTTTACACAAAATCTCATAGACTGACTGTTATTACACCGTAAAAATTTCAACAAATCAGCGGCCAAGCTAAAAATAAGATTTCATACCGGATGGTTATTTCTTTTGGTTTCGACTCCAAAAATTCTTATTCTCGTCTTTTCAAACTTTTATGGATGAGAGTCTCTCAACACTCTAACCGGTGGAAATGATACACCACTCTTGAGTTCTGATTGTTCACTTGATTCAAACACAAACATGAAAACAAAACATATACACGCGATATAGAAATGGACAAAGTTGACTGGGAGCAACTTTGAAGCAGCGAGTACTAGACAATAAATGTCATGCAGGATAAAAGGGACACTGAAGAGGGGCTTATACACTTGTCTCATTCCAATTCAATGCAGTCAAATTGACCAACTCGGTCATTTTTCTGTCTGTGTCGAAGATTTTCTAATTTGTAATAAATATTTTTTATTTGTAATAAACATCAGTTGCGACAGCAAACACTCATTTGTTCATACGTCAAAAATAAATAATTTTGTCATTTTTCTAATAAAAATTATCAATATTATTAATTATATAAAAATAATAATAAAATAATATTATAATTTATTATTATTAATTATATATATATATATATCATTTCCTTAAACATGTACTTTGGTGCAAAAATAAATATTGATGTTTAAAAAAAAAAATGGTTAAATAATGAGTGGTAAAATTCTCTCACCAAATACAACCACCAATCTTATTTTTTATCCAAACGGGAGTATTTTAATTTTTTTATTGATTTATCCGAACTTTGAAAACCGGACAGGGACACGTCATACGCGTACAAAGAAATACGGAAATTGAAGAATCAACCACATAGGAACGCGTGTCACCTGTCAAAACATCGTCATCAACCCTCTTACCCTCTGCCTCTCTCTGCTGCTGCGCAAATATCTCCCACTGCTGGATGGATATGGATAATTGGATATACACACCATTCGTACAAATCCATACATCTCTCTCTCTCTCGCAGACTATCCATTTTGTCTCAATCTTAACCCCACCATGTCTGGAAAGGAAATCGTCCACAAGATGATGGTACCCCCTCTTCCAATTGCATCGTTTTCGCTTTTCAATTTTGATTATCAGACGACACACAAGACTTCAACCATTCCGAGGTCGTGCAGCACTGTATGTAATCATGTAATAACAAGCTCTTAATTAATTTCAGGAAAAAGTGGGAATCTCTTCCCCCCGCGGCGACGTGGGGAAGGGAAAGAGCAAGATGTCGAAACACGTCACGCATGGATTCCATTTGCTGGAAGGCAAATCCACCCACCCCATGGAGGATTACGTTTTCGCGCAGTTCAAACAGGTCAACGACAAGGAGGTCGGCCTCTTCGCAATCTTCGACGGCCACCTCAGCCGCGACATTCCAGAATATTTGAGGTCTCATCTTTTCAACAACATTCTCAACGAGGTTGTCATTTTGCTATTTAAAGTTTTATAATCCCCAATTCAATTTATTCAATTAATTTAATTTGATTTAATTTTGAATCTGCAACTTGCAGCCCGATTTCTGGACAGCTACGGAGAACGCAATCCGTCGGGCATACCGAATCACAGACACCATGATTCTCGACAAAGCTAAGGATCTCGGCAAAGGCGGCTCCACCGCCGTGACGGCGATACTGATCAATTGCCAGAAGCTCGTGGTGGCCAATGTCGGCGATTCCAGAGCCGTTATATGTAAGAACGGCGTGGCGAAACAGCTGTCGGTGGATCACGAGCCGGAGAAGGAGAGGGAGACGATTGAAAACAGGGGTGGATTTGTTACAAGGTTTCCAGGTTCGAGGATGTCGACGAATTATCGATTACTTCCATTTCGATCCAGATTATTTGAGGTTGTCTGTATATATGTTAATTAATTAATCAGGCGATGTTCCGAGAGTCGACGGGCAATTAGCGGTGGCGAGAGCATTCGGCGACAAGAGCCTGAAAGAGCATCTGAGTTCGGAACCCGACGTGGCCGTGGAGATCATCGACGATGAGACTGAGTTCATCGTCTTGGCCAGTGATGGCATCTGGAAGGTCTGCAGTTCATCGTCTTCTCCGAATGCCTTATTTATTACAGAAGTAAATTGATGGCGTTGGGATTAATTGCAGGTTATGTCGAACCAAGAGGCAGTGAACTGCATCAGGAACATCAAAGATGCTAAATCTGCAGCCAAGGCTCTGAATGAAGAAGCAGTTTCTAGAAAGAGCACAGACGACATTTCTTGTGTAGTTGTCAGATTTGGGTGACAAATAATATCTTTCGAACAGTTTCTTTTGTTACATGTATAAAATTTGGCTGTAATGAATTTACACAATCAGAATGATAATAGTTTAGGCCGTCAGATCCAAATCGAATTGAAGAACAAACCGGATCAAATGCATTCTATACAATATACATCGAAATTGAACAAACTTTTGTCTCGATTATAGGAGAATGTCCTATTCCTAAATATCGACCGCATCTAGCAACGATACAACTTCATCGATCGAGGGTCTTCTCCGAGGATCACGGTCTAAACATTTACAAGCAATACCGAGCACAATCATCAGTTGTTTGTTGTTGTCATAACAATCTTTACCTCGAAGAGTCAAATCAAATATCTCTTCCTCCGATTTCTCGAATTTCTTTTGATGCACCCACGCAACAAGGTCCCGGCAACTTTTTCCCTTACACACCTCGACAGGTCGCCTACCGGTAAGAAGCTCAAGTAGAACAACTCCAAAGCTGTATATGTCGCCCCTGAAAGTCGCCGTCAATGTCTGGCTGTATTCCGGCGGAATGTACCCCAAAGTACCGACTAAATCTGTCGTTACATGAGTGTCGTAAGGGCGGAGTAGCCGCGAGAGCCCAAAATCGGCTAAATGAGCTTCGAATTTCTCGTCCAAAAGGATGTTACTCGTTTTGATGTCTCTATGAATTATGTTCGGCTCTTTGTGCAAGTACGCCAAGCCATGAGCTGTGCCACGTGCAATTTTTAACCTAGTATCCCATGTAAGAAAAGAACTTGCATCGACTCTTTCGTGCAGCCAGTAGTCGAGACTTCCATTTTCCATGTAAGAGTAGATTAGCAGCCGGTCGTTCCCACAGCGACAATAGCCCTGAAGCGAGACGAGGTTTTTGTGCTGCGCTCTTGAGAGAGCTTCGACTTCGGCTTGAAATTCGCGTTCCATTTGTCCGCAGTCTCCAGAAAGCCTCTTGATCGCTGCTTTAGCGCCGTTAGGAAGATCAGCCATATAAACTAATCCGAAGCCTCCGCAACCAACGATGTTCGATTGGTTGAAGTTATTAGTCGACTTAAGCAAATCAAGAACTGTGAGTTCCCGACACTCGGCATTCTTGAAAAGAACCAGCTTCGGAGGCCCAAATGCATCGGTAAATCCATGGCTGATTTCCTCCTCCGAAAGTTCAGTCGGAACTTTAACATCATTTCTCGATATTTTTATTACAAGAACTGCTACGATCAAAGCCATCGCAATCCCAACGCTGAGTGTTATACTGAGAATACTTCCCTGACCAAATTTTCCATGTCGATGAGACAAAGAAGTATTATCCGAGTTTTTGTCGATACAAGATGAAATTAACTTCCCACAAAGTCCAGGATTTCCCTCAAAGCTCGAGCTCGGAAAACTAAAGAATTGTCCCCCGGTTGGAATAGGCCCCTCGAGATGATTATTCGCGACGCTAAACTTTGAGAGAAAAGTGAGGCGGTTGAACGATGAAGGGATCGATCCGTGGAGATCATTGTCCGACAAATCAAGTGTCTCGAGATTCACCATTTCCGATATCGAGCTGGGAATGGTCCCGGATATGTTATTCCGACTTAGATCCAAGACATGGAGCTGCCTCAACTGCCCAATTTCAGGCCAAATCGATCCATTTATCCGGTTGTCGTTCAAAAATATCGACGGAGGGAAACTCGAAGCTTGATTATACTGCAAGGCTGTGCCGGTCTGATTTCTCTTGACAAAAATCGGGATACCAGTCGAAGCATTAAGGCTCGAGGCGTAGCCGTTGACAGAGCTAAGGCTTCTGAGCTCCGTCACACTTTTTGGAATCCCGCCGGTTAATGAATTGTTAGATAAATCCAAATAGAATAAACCGTCCATCCGGCCTATCCAGGAAGGCATGCTGCCGTCCAGACGGTTCCACGACAAGTCGAGGACTTGCAACTTCCGGCAATTCGACAGCCAATTTGGGATCCTACCGGTCAGGCCGCAGTTTCCCAGGGCAAGAAGAAGGAGGCTTTCGAATCCAGACACATTTTCGGGAATCTCTTCACCATGGAAATTTTTCGTGAGTATAAGGGTGGTGAGGTTCCTGCAATTCTTCAACACAGATAAGGATCTCGATAAATCAGCAAGGCTATTGTTCGACAGCGAGAGAAATTTAAGAGACGACAGATTAGCATAGCTAGGTGGGATCGAACCACTTAAATTGTTTCGAGCAAGGCTCACAACTTCCAATCCTTGGCAGCGAGAGAGCGACTCTGGTAATGATCCAATAAAACGATTAGTTCCCAAATCGAGTGTACAGAGATTAGAGAGCCCCGAAAAATCAAGATCAATTCGACCAGAAAGTGAGTTGTTGCGGAGATCTAGCACCCGTAACTTAGAGCAAAGTGATAAAGTCGAGGGCAACAAACCGTCGAATGAATTCGAATATGCAATAAACAGCTCGAGATGAGTTAAATTCCCAAAAACATTAGGCAGAGAGCCTGAGAACCGGTTCCCGGATAAAACCAACACTTTGAGGTTGGAAAGGTTGCCGATTTTCTCACTGAGCTCGCCGGAAAAATTATTTACAGAAATCGACAGCAGCTCTAAAGAGGACAGCAAGTAAAGCGAATCAGGAATTTCACCAGAAAACGAATTGAAATCAAGATGAAGCTGCTGAATTAACCGGCTGCAAGCGTCGAAGCCTTGAATTCCACCGGTGAAATGATTCCGAGATAAATCAAGAACTCTGATTTTGCTGGAGAAGCTGCAGTTTCTTGTGTTGAGCTGACCATTGAAGAAATTGTTGCTCAAATTCAATGCGAAAAGATTTGGGAATATCCCGAAATCATTTAAACTTCCATTGAATGAGTTTCCGGATAGATTGAGCGACTGAATTGATTCCAAACCAGCAATAGATCCGAATGCTGTTCCGACAAGAACATTATGGCTGAAATCAAGGACTTCCAGCTGCTTCAGATTGGAGAATTTCGAAGGTATTTCGCCTTCGAGAGAATTGTACGAAAGATCGAGCGATTTCAGGTTATCCAAATTGGAAATGGATGCTGAAACCACTCCTTTCAAGCCTTTGCCTGATAAACTCAGCTCGATCACTCTGCCCAATCCTGATTTGTCGACTCCATTTCCGCAGACAACTCCTTCCCATCCACAGCAATTCGATTCATTCAGCCATTGGAATTTTACAGAACCGTTGGTTAACTGCCCTGCAAAATCCTTAAGGGCTGACAAATCATTTGGATGACAAGTCTGCGAGGCAGCTACAAGACTAACGAAAATGAAAGCCAAGAATCCAGAATTCAGGAGATTCATCAGTGGGAAGTCACTGGCAATCATTAATCCTCGTTTCAGAAGAAAATTATGGTGGGATTGACCGATTGAGCTTTTCTGCAATACCTTTCGAAATCGAAGAATACTCCCAAATTGCTTCCACCACAGAGTTCGAAAATCAAACCCTACCAGAGAAAAGCAAGCTTTGGGCAGGAAATCAAAAGATTTTAAATATCCACCTGCAGAAAAACCACCCCCAAATTCTCAGTTCCAAACCCGAAATCGAATTCGATGGATATGTATTCAATACCTAAATAGAACAATTTATTCAGTGCAATCCCTAATCAGAACAAGAAAGTTCATATAAAAATCAAAATAACCACCACAGGTCCACAGCAAACAACAAAGAGAGGTTATTAGGGTTTCGAATCCCGAACTTACATGAAGAAAATCAATTCACACAAAAATATGTAATAGAAAAAGGGGCACAACAGAAGCAATTTTGTCAAGGCCATATCGCTTGTAGAGGAAGCAAACCACAGTCCCACAACAGAAATGAATGATCAAACACTTAGCAAAAGTTGGCCCTTTTTTCCTGCAAGTGGGCTTCGACGACTACAGCCACTGGAAATAAAAACAGAGAATCTTGAAATTTGAAGATACGGATGGCTGAAGAAAATGGTGAAAGATAAATAAAGAGCAGAGAAGACTTACTCGAACACAGTAATGCTTGCTTTCGAATTAAAGAAACTTGGAGGAAAGCAAGTTAACCAAAGATTCTTCTTTATTGCGCAGGAAAATTAAAGAGGATAAAATTTCCCCAACTCTCCCTCGTCCCGACGACTTTGGCTACCTGTTTTTTCCTTGTTGGGGGCTCTTAAAAATTGGTGATGGTGATGGTGGGACTTATTATTTCAAATGATGACACAACCAGGGCTGACTTTATTTCAAATGAGGATTAATTAATTATTACTTAGTGGACTAGAAGTAAAAATTAAATTGTAATTTTGGCGTGCCATTAATGTGTTCTCATTGCAATTTTCCCATCTTTCTTGTCCTATTTGTTGGTAAAAGAAAGAATTAAATTGAAAATTATTTAAAAAAAAGTATTCGAAATATAAAAAATATATATATATATATATAATGCATGCAATGATGTAGATAAATCAATTTAAAAGGACCATATATTACCGGTGGAAAAATAGAGAATGAATCGTTACATGAAAACAATGAATTAAATAAGAGATGGTTTGATTGAGGTGAGAATATATAAAAATATATATTGTCCTATTTAATTAGTGAATTTTTACTTTGATATGTTATTTGAATAATAATTTATATACTTTATCTGTCCAGTAGAAATATTACTATTTTAAGTAAATTTTTTAATATTAATATTATATTGGATTGTAGTGAAAAATAACAAAAATACGTCAATAGTATTTGTAATAGAAAAGTAATTGCATTTGTGTAATATAATGTAAGTTGGAATGCTATTTATTATGTTAGATCGGAAAGGTTATTTATTATGTTAGCTATATAGTACCATTACTAAATTAACATTATTTTAAGACAGAAAGAATATAATTTTTATGAGATCGGAATATATATATTTAATAAAAATCATAAAAGTTAAAAATAAATAAACACATAAATTTTTAATTTTTATTTCACTTTATTTCTCAGCACATTAAAGACAAATCAAAATAAAAAATAAAAAAAATTAAGAAATTATTCATCTCTCAAAATTTTAATTTTCTGAATCAAACAAACTACTTTTATATCTCTTATTCTAATATTATTTCCCTTTGGAATCAATTCATCTGATTTCCTATTTTCATCCATTTGAAATCAATTTATATGTTTTCTTAAGTAGTTATAGTCCATACATGTATTAAAATAAGCACGGGATCTCGTAATGATTTGACGGGATCAATACGATCAGCATTAGATTCGTGTCTAGTGACGAAAATAGCATTTAAATTTTGTATGACAAAATATTATAATTTATTTAATATTAACTAATAAATTTAAATAAAAAATAATGACATAATTATATATGAATTTGGATAGTTTTTTAGAACAAATTGTATATAAATACATAAAAATTTATATTTTTAACACCAAAAAAATCATAAAAATTTGAGTTTTGAAAGTCAATAGTTTCATCCCTGTCCGTGCCCATTAAAATACAAACTCTTATATGTTACAGCAATACAATTAATAAAATTTAAGTGCATTATAAAACATTTTAAAGATAAAATTGTATATTCATCTTTTTATTACATTATATAGATATATAAAATGCTAACAATATTATAAAATATGTGTAATAAATAAACATAGAACTATTGTTGAAAAATATTAAATAAATAATTAATAAAGGATGGGAGCGTAGATTGAGGTCAATGTTTTAGGGCGTAGCCGGTGCCCCTATGGTCCTAATAATAATAATAATAATAATATTACACCCTAAACTCTCATTTTCTTTTTTGGGGTGTCATAAAAATATATTCTTATTTTTTTTAAGTAAAAAATCATTCTATTTTTATACTGTTTTCTATTACAAAAAAAAAAATTAACAATTATTATTTATTTTTATTAAAATTCGTGTCCGATCAAATGAGCACACGTTTGGATAACGGATGGAGTAATAATATTGACAAAAATGAGGACTCGGCTTCACCTAATTCATAGAAAACAGGAGGCGGTCTATATCATATCATTTGCTTGTAAATTGTAAGGATAAATCATAAAGAATGAAACATGCATACAACAATACACATGATTTAATATAAATATATAACATATATTTTATCTAAATTTTATGATATACTAATTTATTTTTATATCAACATAAAGGATGGATTTAATGTTCATAAGAGGAAACAACATTATATTAATTTTGAAATGCTGTGTTCTTTAGTTAAATATGTTGAATTCATGTGCAAGATACAATGTTAGCTTCAAAGTAATAAAAGGGTGTGCTATCTACATAAAATATGACCAAATTCGGTTATAAATAAATAAGAAGTTCAGTATTTAATATACTTTTATTTTTATTTTTTAGTTTTGGGATGAGTTATTTTAGTTTCTACACAATTTTCTTACAATTTGGATTTTATTCTAGTAAAACATTATTTTTATTTTTTTTTCCAAAATATCATATGAAAAGTCTAAATTTCAAAATCCAACTCAGACCGAAAAGAGGTTGCCAGACTATTTTGGGTAAATTTTCGATTTAACCTAATAGCCTTCAAACTAAACCCAACAAGACAAGTCACACTAACCTGACCACGTGTGATTAGGGCTGACAAAGGAATCAGGTTTGAACTTGATCTAGTTAATTAAACGGGTTGATATTTGTAACATTAACTTAGACATTTTATTAATCGGATCAACCTGAATCCTACCTGTATAATCTGTTTAAATCTGAAATTTGTAAATTTTAATTTAAAATTGTAATTTCTACTAACAAAAATTTCAAATGCATAAAATATTTACATATTAAAGCAAAAACTACTTATTCATATCATTAAAACCGATATTAAAGAGTCGAATTAACAAACACTATATAATAGTACACAACACAATCATTTGTTTAATCCTAATTTTATAGAATTTTAGATTAAATTTTATTTTATTTTTATAAATTGTCCATGAATATTTGAATTGAATTGGTAAAATTTTAAAATACATTTAAATTTAAAATAATATTAATTAAACAGTTTAGACGAATTATTTTCGAGTTGAAAATTTGAACTTAAACCTAACTCATTTAATTAAACAAGTTAAACAGGTTTGACTCAATTATTAATTGAGTCAAAAATTTCAACTCAAACTCAATTATTTTGGGTCAGATTCAGATTGAATTATCAGAGTGGATCAACTTTTATATTTATGTATATATATATATGATAGTATAATTAAATTTCAATTATTATGTGTAAGTCGACTTACATCAATCTCCTTTGAATTTTGGCACCCAAATATACCAACTACATCTAAACCTAACATGCATCTACATATGATCTATCGAATCTAAATAACAATAATTGTTCTCCACAAATATTTGTCTCTTCTAAATTTGGAAACCAAATGTCAATAAATTTGATTTAACTTCCAACCTACGAAGAGACAAACATGTCTTGCATTGCAACCCATCTTAACACGTGTCCAATCAAATAATGCATTAACTTATAACGTGCATCGGTTATTTATTTAGTATTTTAGTTTGAAATAATTTTTTGATGTAAAGTATGTAAAAAAAATTAAGTTGATAATATAAAAAAAAAATAACATTTCATCCGTCCACCTCTAAGTATTACATTTACATTTTGCGTTATTGTACTTAACATTAAAAATATCCTTATAATTGTATAATTATACTTAATTTATACTACGTTTTAATATAATAATTAATATTCAAATATCAACACGCAAAAAATAAATGAAAAACAAATGAAGTATTTTATTTTAATTTATTATTTTTTATGAAATAATACAATATATATTATTCATATTGGATACATATGTGTATATATTTTATTTTTTATTAATTTTTATTGGGGATTATATCAACACAAAATTGATGGTGAACAAACTCTGTGTTTGGTTACATATTGTTGGATTTTGATTGATACTACACTCCCAATTTTTTCTTCAAATATAGTAGTATGTTTGTTTTTATTTGTGATTTGAAATTGTATGTCAATTTGATTTTTTTGTTGAAATAGTATTTTTCATATATTATTTTGTAAGAAATATCTATATTTTTTAAATGTTTAAACACATATTTTTAATTTCTTTTTAATTATATATAAATTAAATCATAAATCAATTATTAATTAAATAAATTACTTTCAATCCAACTTTCAAACTAAAACTCAACCAATAACAAAATACATTTTCATAATACTTTCACCATATTTCTCAATAATAACAATATAAACTTTTGGTGTATTTATTCATGGAATTTTGGTTTTGAGTTTTGATTTTAAACAGTAAAATTTTAAATTAAAATTGTTATTTATGTGATATAAATATATATTGATTGATATTTTGAATCTAAAATTAAATTTTAATGCAATATAATAATTAAAAAATATATATATGTGTGCTTGATTTGATGGTTTTTCAAATAAGAATTTAGAATAGTAAAATCAAAAATAAAATTTTACAGGTAAACACACCCTATATTTTATTTATTTTTTATATAAAATTATATATTATTAGTATAAAAACATACATAGATTAAATCCTTTTATCCAAAAAATATTATTAGTATAAAGCATACATAGATTAAATCCTTTTATCCAAAAAATATTATTAGTATAAAGCATATATAGATTAAATCCTTTTATCCAAAAAAATAGGACAAATAATGATATAGTTATTAAATAAAACATATGATATTTATGCAATTTTAATAAGATATGTAGTATAATTTATCCTTATACATATGTGCTCCTCCATACGTAATAATAAAATATATTTATTAAGTTCGTCCAGTGTAACTTGTTTTAATAAACTTAATTTGCAGACTATTAAATTAGATCGGAAGTTTACCCAGAGTGTACCCAGGGAGTATGAATTTTCACATTGTTGATTATCTATATATCTTTATATTTGATCTAATATACATTGGAACTGTAGCAATTATAGGGTCTCATGTTATAAATATATATATATTTTTTACATTTTAGCTGAAAAAATATATTATTTTCGTTAGACTCTAAGGTCTCATTTACATTTTGCGTCATCGTACTTAACATTAAAAATATTCTTTTATTTGTATAATTTTTACACAAATGTCATTACAATGTATTATAAGATACTAATAGAATTATTTTTGTCATTTTCACTTAATTTATACTACGTTTTCATATAATAATTAATATTCGAATATCAAAACGTAAAAAGTAAATGGAACGTTTAGAGCCAGACAGAGATAGTATTTTATATTGATATATCCTAATTATATTTAAGATCCATTATTGTCGTCGATACAAGAGACTATGCTAGTTCTCAATCGTTCAAATGACACATTCTAAAGGATTAAAGACCGTACTTAACCGTATTTTGGCAGATCTAATTTACAAATTATTAAATTTGATTGAGTTTACTCGAAGCACATGATAAATAGCGATTGCAGATTTTCGCATTATAATATATATATATATATCAAACAAAGTAAATACGCTATTATTAATAATAGTAGTAATTACAATAAATATAAATTATCTATGAAATTGTGAATTGGGAGCAACATCATTATGCATATAATGGAAAAATAAGTCAAATAAATGGTGGGAGACAATGACCATATGATTTCATCAATAATATTTCAGAGTAGGAGTCAAACTCCACGGATAATATTTTATTGGGTAATAATAATAATAATAACAATAATAATAAGTGGAGACAATAATCATATGGACAAATATTTATGGGCATAATTATGCTTTCAGCCTTTTGCACTTTGACAAGTTGAATACAAATTTAATATAATCCCAAACTCTACACAAATTAAAAGTGACCTAATTAAATTACTTGCCCATTAATCCAATTTCATCCACATATTAAACCCACAAACAATATTAAATATTTAACTAAAATTAAAATATAATAACCTCTATATTGTTCAATGACGCCACTATTTAGGTTGTAGTATTATGCGTGGACTAATGTCCGTTTGGATTGGCTTCTAGCAGGAGCTTTTGACTTCTGCTTCTAAAAAAAAATAGTTTGCAGTTGTTTACATTGGCTTCTATTCAAAAGTAGAAGCATGTTTTGAAGTTGAAAAGTGTTTTTTTCAGAAGCACACTGGGGTAGCTTCTGCTATAAGCATAAGCACTTTTCAGTTAAAATTATTATTTTATCCTTAATAATAATAATAATAATAATAATATAAAAATAAATAACTTATATATTACTCCCTCCGTCCCAAATACCATGTCCACGTTGCCGTTTATGTCCGTCCCACGTACCATGTCACTTTCCTTTTTCGGAAAATGATTACACACTTTAATCTCATTTTAAATTTTTTAATTTTATTTTTCTTTTAATTTTAATTAAACTAATTAGTTATCTTAATCTTAATTTGTAATTATTTATATTATAGGATAATTATTTTCAAAAATACATTCTTAATTATCTACTAATTACACCCCTCCTAAAATACCGTGTCTACAGTGTAGCAGACACGGTATCTGGCACGGAGGGAGTATATTTTAATACAAATAAAAAAATATAATTAATTTATTATTTTTAATTTATGTACTATATTTGGATTAAAATTTAAAATTTAAATACCGAATGTAAATAGGAGTATATAAATTTTGTAATTATACTTAAATTACTAAATATAATTTATAAAATTTTTAAATAAATTATAAAATACAAATTATATAATATTATACTGTAATTTTATGTTTAATTGATATATTATCCTTAAATTAAAATTTTTAAATACAAATAATCAAAATTTAAAAGTATATTTTTTATACTTTAATTTAACATCTTTAAATATAATTTATAAAATTTAAATTAAATTATAAAAGTGTTATATAAAAATACTAATATTATATTAACCGCATGTCATTTTAAGTAATTTTAACAGTTTAAAAAGCACTTTTAACTGTACAACGTCCAAACAGTTTTTTACGAAAAGCTGCTTTTATAATGATTTATCCAAATACAAAATTGAACTTTTTCTGCTTTTGGCTTCTGGTTCTGCTTCTACTTTTGACTTCTGCTTTTTTTTTAAGCCAATCCAAACGGCCAGTGTACTATTGTCATGAAATTTTATGTGAAATAATGGGTTATTAAATGTAATATATTGGGTATATAAAAGGAAGTATATTTAGAATGATAATTAAATTTCATATGTAAATTATTATATATATTATATAACTATCCAAACTACCATATATATATATATATATACTAAATATATCTTAAATATATTTGACTGAAAGTAAAAATACAAATTCACAACAGAAATTATGAAAATTGACGTAATTATATCGAATTGTTTAATTATTTGAGATGATTTTATTTTTATTTTAAAATGAATTAAACTTATTATTGTTGATATTTATATAATTTATTAATTTCTTATACAAATATAGGCCCTCTTTTGAATGGGCCTGGATTGCACTTCCCCAAGGCAGCCTTTATTGAATGTGCTCCTTCCAGAAAATATTTTTATTACAAAACGCTCTTTAAATAAAAAAGTTCAATTTACATGGCAAGCTGCTATCATGCATACTAGTAATTAACAACATATAATACATAGAAGACCAATGGTGTGCTTCTTTTAGCACTAAATTTCCATATTTTATTATTTCAATTTTATGTTTTTCAAAAAAAAAAAAAATTCTCACAAAAATATTCTATTACATTATTTTAATATAAAAATTTTCAAATCAAATAAAAATAAATACAAATTTATTATTTGGATATAATCTTTCTGACTTGCATAATTAACTATATATTTATTTATGTTTGCATTGTAGTATCTTATTTGTACTACAATCTATATAGTTTGTACTATTAATAGTTTTAAAATATAAATTAATGTATGATGATGTATAATATTATTTATTTTATATTTAATTAAATTGATTTATATTTATTAAATATATTTTACATTAATATTTTTATTAAATATAAAAATATGTCAAATAAAATAAGATGATTTAAAATAAAAAAAAAATCATTTTTTAAACAATTGATGGAGTAAAAAAATTAGCTACATCTGTCCCTCTGTAAAATTTCATTTACTTTTTATCTGTTCATTTTTAAATGTTAATATCAAAATCTAGTATAAATTAAAAATAAAATTACAAAAATACTTTCATTTGTATCTTGTAATAGTATTAAAAGGACATTTATAAAAAATTATATATAAAAATATTTTTAATATAAGTACAATATTTACAATATAATGATGAAAGGTAAATATGATGTTTAAAGCGGACGGATAAAATATTTCTTTCATTTTAATTGAAAGTATTCTATTTATTTTATATTTTAAATAAAAATAATTATATATTAATATTAAAATATTTTTTAATTATATTCAAATTACAAATATATTATTACTTATTCTAGATTGTACCTCTTGTTACGATCACGTTCAAATCCATTCTAAACATAACTACGTTGATATTCGATTTCACCACGATTATCCAAAAAATAAATAAATAAATAATCCATCCAAAAAATAAATAAATAAATAATCCATCCAAAAAATAAATAAATAAATAATCCAAAATAGACAAAAGAGGAAACTAATTATAGTGCAGAAGTATAGGTATGAAGGGTAAGCTCTGCAAATATTGACTGGCTAAAACACAAATTGACTGGCCGCTATGATCGTTCAACCAAGACAAGAGAAAAGAGAAAGAGTTGCCAAACAGTAACTCCACGCGCAGCCTTCATTTCCTTTCATGGCGCATCAACTCAATTTAAAATCGCGGCCAGTGGGTAGTTGGGACTTCCCCCAATCGCCTTCGATTCACTCCTCTACTTGTCTTGTCGCCTACCGCCATTGCCGTCCCTTTCCTCACCTTTATGTATCGCTAATTCCTACTGACAATAAAAGAGAGGTTTGAATTGTGCACAAGTCCGTGAAGATGGCCGGCGAGTTTGACGAGGCGGACCGGCCGCTTCTGGACCGGCCGCCGTCGTCGGAGCGGCGGTGGTGCAGAAAATTGATCGATTTGGACGAAGCCAAGGATCAGATGCTCTTCGCTCTCCCCATGATACTCACCAATGTCTCCTTCTACCTCATCCCTCTCGTCTCCGTCATGTTCGCCGGCCACCTCGGCCACCTCCAGCTCGCCGGCGCTAATCTCGCCAATTCCTGGGCCTCCGTCTCCGGCTACGCTTTCTTGGTAACCATACTTTAATTAATCACTGATCTGTGTTAAACGATAACACGAGAATTTTATACGCGGAAAACCGTCCACGATTCGAATTCAGGAAACTCTGTCACCTGATTGCCAATTGTGGTTTTTTGATTTGATTGAAATGATTCCAACGATGCTCCATTTCCAAAAAAACTTGTCCTCTCCGTATTTAGGGTTTTTATATTGCACACAAGATGTTCGACGAAATAATTCATAATTGTTCAACGCAGATGGGGTTAAGCGGCTCGCTGGAGACGCTATGCGGACAAGGATACGGCGCGAAATTGTACAGGCTGTTAGGGTTGTACTTACAGGCGGCGTGCATCATTACGACCTTCGTCGCAGCTCTCTTATCCCTCCTATGGTGGTTTTCCGATGCTGTTCTAATTCTTCTCGGCCAAGACCCAGAAATTGCAAAGGCCGCCGGGCTGTACTTGAAGTATCTGATTCCAAGCCTGTTTGCTTACGGATTTTTGCAGAATATTTTGAGGTTTCTTCAGACACAATCTGTTGTTATGCCTTTGGTGGTCTGTTCGTTGGTTCCTCTCGTCCTCCACTTCGGGATCGGCTACGGTTTGGTGCACTGGTCCGGGCTTGGGTACACCGGAGCTCCATTGGCAGCTTCGATTTCGCTGTGGATCTCTGTGTTGATGTTGGGATCGTACGTTGTTAAGGCGGAGAAGTTTAAGCTTACCTGGGATGGGTTGTCTTTGGAGTCGCTTAAATATGTTTATTTGACTTTCAAGATTGCGCTGCCGTCAGCAGCCATGGTTTGGTAAGCTTCGTTGATTATAGTTTTTTTGAGAAAAAAAATATATATATATATATCTTTATGATTAATTTGCCTCTGCTGGAAGTGAATTTTGTGTTTTTATGTTGTTTGATCAGCCTGGAGTACTGGGCGTTCGAGATTCTTGTCTTGCTTGCTGGATTGATGCCGAATTCGGAAATCACTACCTCCTTAATCGCGATGTGGTAGGAAAAAATGATTAATTTTTTATTTAAAACATCATATTAAATGCATATTAATGTTTACGTCTGCAGCGTCAATACTGAAGCCATTTGCTACATGGTTGCATACGGCCTCAGCGCAGCGGCTAGGTAATTTTTAAATGGTTATAATGTTATGTCATGTGTTATCAGTACTGTGCTAAATTATAGATATTATTTAGTACGAGGGTGTCGAACGAATTGGGAGCCGGGCATCCGGGAAGGGCGAGGAGTGCGATGATGGTTAGTCTTAAACTGACGGTAATTCTCGCGGTATTGGTGGTGTCGGCATTGGGGTTGGGACATGATCTGTGGGCAAGCGCTTTCAGCGACAGCGCGGTGATCGCGGAAGCGTTTGCGCCGATGACGCCGCTGCTTGTTGCATCGATACTTTGCGATTTCGTTCAAGGGATTCTGTCGGGTGTGTCGAGAGGCTGCGGGTTCCAACATTTGGTAGTCTTCATCAACTTGGGGACTTTCTATTTGATCGGAATGCCCATCGCGATTCTGCTGGGATTCAAGTTTAATCTCTATGCCAAGGTAATAAAGGATAATATTGTCATCTCTACAGCATATGTTCATCTCTTAATGAACAAATGTGGTTTGTTTTCTTTGTACAGGGGCTGTGGATTGGATTGATCTGCGGCCTGTCGGTGCAGATGATGAGTCTATTGCTTCTTACGAAATTAACAAATTGGACGCGAATAGAACTTGCGAGGGATTCGTCGCCCAAGCTTGTCGGAGAAATTGTCTGATTATATGATACTCCAACAAATATAGTCTTAGTTGGATTCGGCACGATGTTGATATTATATTATAGATAAAAAGACTTTTTTGTTATAAAAACAGTGGTAATTGTGTAATAAAAATGTAAAGTAAAATTAATTTACGATGATATGGTTATTTATAGAAATAAAATTATTATTTTGAGTTAAAAAAAATAAATAAATAAGGGCTTGTTTGGTTGGACTTTTGTTTGAAGATTTTTTTTTTTATTGTTTATTAATTTTATGTTAAAATGTTTACTTATTTTTATAATATATTAAAAAAATTAATTTTATATTAAAAATATTATATCAATTTTTATTTATATAATATCAAATAATTATATAAATTTAAATTAAATCAAACAAAAATACCTTACATGGTGGTGGTCTATGTCATACACTAACAAAAAATTTAAATAATAAATTTTTAGGTCAGAATTTCTTTTCTGGTCAATTTTGCATTGCCATTTATTTTTTTTATAATATATTACAATTCTGCTCATATTTTATATAGGTCATTATTAGGCAGGACCTTGTCAGTTTTATCTTTGAATTAATTGATTAATTGGACAATCATTCTAATCTAGTTTAGTGCTATATTATTTCTTTATTGTAACTGATTTTTACTTATTATTTTAATTTAAGATATTTCATAGTTGTTAGGAATTTTTCATTACTTCGAATTGCATATTTTCACTTTTGCCTGTATAATTCAAAGATTTAATTTTTTTTTTTTAGTAATGATGGACCTACCACCAATTATAAATATCTCTATTTTTACATTTAATTTTATCCCTACTTGTCTTTATACAATTGAATACTACTTCATCCGTCCCAGATATCATGTCCACGTTGCCGTTTCTATCCGTCCCACGTACCATGTCATTTTTTTTTTTGGAAAATGATTACACACTTTAATCTTATTTTAAATTTTTAATTTTTTTTAATTTTAATTAAACTAATTAGTTATCTTAATTTTAATTTATAATTATTTATATTATAGGATAATTATTTTCACTAATACATTCTTAATTATCTATTAATTACACCCCTCCTAAAATACCGTATCTACAGTGTAACAGACACGGTATCTACGACGGAGGGAGTATAAATTATGATTAAAATACTGATATTTTAAATCTGCATGGCAAAAACAAATATACAATTGTAAAACAAATGTAAAAAATTTCCTAAATTAATGTATAGAGTTTGTTCAATTTGTGTTTTTTTTAACATAATTCTACGCTTTGATTACTCTATCAATGAGTACATATTATATAATTGTATATAACATAATATATTTTGATTTGACCACAAAATAAATTATACAAACCAATACAATATATAACTAGCACAACATGTAATTTTAATGCAATATATTGCATAATTATATAATACATATTATATAATTTTATATAGTACAATATTTAAGCAATATGAGCAGATTAGAAAATATATCACAATATATAACTAGCACAAGACATAATTTTATATAACACATTAAATGTTATCGGTCTTAGGAATGATAATTGTTTTATATTAATGTGCTAACTCGATCAAATTAATTATAACTGCGGCTTAATTTTTTATAAATATTATCAAAAATATAATATATACACATTAAAATAATATATACTCCATCCGTCCCAATACAATAGTCTTATTTATTATTTTTTTTCCGTCTCAAAATAATAGTCTCATTTCCATAAATAATCATATCACTATAAAACTATTATTACTTTTTCATTATTACTACACAATTGCAACTACTCTTTACACTAATACACTCACAATGGCAAAAAAGTCTTTTATCCGTATTTTTTACCCACTATCAATATACTATCAATATTTCTTAAATCTCGGGTCAAACACAACCCAGACTATAATTCTGAAACGAAAGGAATATTATGTATACTTTATCTATTCATAAAAAAAAAAAATTAAAAACATAATATATAGAAGTCCGACAAGGCAAGTCATACAATAACTCGTGACCTCATGGTTATAAGTGACCCCAACCACCAGATTATTCCTTAATCAACAACTATTTTAAAACAATAAAAAGTACACAAATATTTTGATGATTCCTTCTACATTATTTTTTGGAAATAACAATATATTATGTAAGCTATTAAAGTTAAATAGTACAGAGAGTGAGTATATATTTATAATTTTATTTCAAAATAATATGGTACAATAAAATAAGTCATAAATTAAATTATTATTAGGTTAAAATATAAAAAATATATATTGCTAATTCAATTAATGCATCAACAATCAATATATATTGAAAAATTTTGATTTGTTCTGTTTTGTTTATTAATATATATTAATATTCAATGCTCAAAATTATATTAATATATATTTTTTTAATCAAAATATATATATTTATTATTTTTCAAAGTTTAATTATTTCGATTAATTTAAATTTAAAATTAAAAATTATAATCTTATTGAAATCAAAATTTATAAATTTAATTTTGAATCGAACCAAACAAATTACTCAAAAAGTTTAAAGTAAAAAATTTCGTTTGTTTTCTATTTGTTATTATGGTCCATAATGATTCATTTGAATTAATCTATTTGTTTTTTTTTTTAGTAATTATGGTCCATAATAATAATTTTTTTAAAAAAATTAATTATCAGTTATTATTATAATAATATCATTTATATAATTTAACTATATTACAAATTTTTTTATAATGATAAAAATATATATTTATACATCTATTATACTATATATATTATAATTAATTTTAATAATAGTTCAAAATCTACATGCAAAGTAAATAGATATATTAATACCGAAGGGAGGAAATATCTTATTTTACAGAATTTATTATTTAAAAAGTGAAAACATATGCGTGATAATGTATTATTGCAATATACTATATCGGATGCAAAATGACCGTGTCTATTTAGATTCAGTCTCTATTTACATAATTTATTTCAGTGCAATTCTTTTTTTACAAATGAAATTGATTGTAATTCTACCCATTTTTCTGAAACTGCATCATTCAAACAGTTGAATCCTCTCCTTGGCATGTTAGGGATTGGAAATTTGATCATCGGACCTGGATCCAGATCCGGATTCAAACGTGATTAATTAAAATAATGAATTTTTTTTTTTTTCAATTGAGATATACTTTTATATTGTTATTATTATTATTATTATTATTATTATTGTTGGTGGTGGTGGAAATATGATTGAATATTTATACTTTATCCATCAACTTCTGACAGTTATACTTATTTTTTAAGTGTAAAATTTTTATTACTACTTTATAATACAAATACAATAACATTTGTATAGTAAATTATAAAAATATAAGAATATATTAAATGCTAATTACTACTACCCAAAAGATAAAGGTACCCAAAAGATAAAGGTAAGCTTTAGAACAGGACGAGAGTATTTGTTATATATTTTTATAATTTATTTTTCTGAAATAAATAGATATTTTTTTAAGTAGGTCGAATCTCCGTTCGGGTTGAGTTTGTGCTGAAATTTTTCAACTTTGGCAGGTCTAGCGTGTCCGGCGAGTAAATCACGGGTAGGATCCGAATATATTTGGACCTGGGTACACTTGAGTTCGAGTAGGGTTTTGGATTCAGTAATATGCATTAGGGTAAGATATCGAGTCCGGCTATATTCGCCTCATACCCTACCCATTCCCATATACCCAACCCATTGTCATTGCTAAGTTTCACCCATATCTTATCATTTTGCAGCTGATTTCGAGTCTTTGAGAATTTATACCTTTTGAGTAAAAGATTCATCTTCAGATTTGATTCAGAAATTTAAGCGGTGGTATATATTTTGAGATTCTTAATATGAAGTATCATATTTGCTCCATCAACTAAACAAATTATTTGTTCTTTGTGCCTTTTCGAAGTATATGAATATAATACATTTACTTAAATTTTATGTGTTCGTTTGATGAATTTGGACAAAATCTTACTATTCATCTAAAATTCTCCTAAAAAATATTAAATCAAACACTTATTTTTTATTTTTTATATTATACTAAAAATCAATTTTACATTTAAAATATCACATCATCACCTTAGCATAAAAAAATTATGTGGTATTTTTTATTAAAAAAAATATGAAAATAAATTTATATGAAAGAAAAAGAAAAAGAGAAAGAGAAAGAGAAGAGGTGGTAATAAGTTTGGAAGGAAATACAGTTCTTTTTTGTGTTAACATGAACTTTTAGCAGACACAAGACCGTTATCGATTATCCGCAAAAAATTGGAGTGAAAGATCCTCAGCCCCTCCTTCCCCACACAAAGCAAAGGAATCAAACTTTACGACATTTCACGGAGCCTGCTGGCTCCTATCGGCCTATCCATCCTGCGCTTCCACACCCATATGTGCACATCCAAGCGCAGCAGCAATGGCGGCAGTTGCAGCGGCATCTTTTGCAATAAACCTACCAGCGAAAATGGCGGCAACTTCTCGTGCAATATATATGGGAAGAACTAGAAGCAGAGTAAAAGAAGAAGCCATGGCCATGATTACAGCAGGCGTGCACAAGGATAGGCATGTATTATCGTCTCTTTTGCCAAGCTCTTCTGAATGCTCTCATTGTGGCCTCTTCTTCTTGAAGGTATGAAATTGGGGAATTTTGGATTAGATGTAATGTCTTTCTGTATTAGGAGCTTTTATTGCACTATGTTGTTGTTTGATTGTGAATTTAATAAGTATTGAATAGGACATGGGAGAAATTTTGGGGGTTTAGGGTTTATGACATGGGAGAAGTGACGTGTATCTAAAATGTGTAAGGCTGATTGAAGATCATCGATCTTTGCTAGAATTGTTCTATAACAAATGTTAAATATGTGATGATGCCTTATCAAGAATTTATGGATTGCCATTGGGAGCTGATTTAAGGTTATGTTGATTGTTTAAACAAGATCGGAATCTTGGATGATATCGATTATCTTGAGCACACCTTCCCAACAAAATGATCAAACTTCTTGTGGGAATGATTCATTTCTACAATGACTTCCCTGGCGATCTTTGATTGTTTCGACATTTACCCAAATGATGAAATGTGTTTCCAATTCATTTTCAGGGAAATTACTATAGCTATTGGTTTGATGCTTCCATTAAACTCCATACTAAAACCTCGAATAAAGTTCATGGTGACCATTATAATGTAAAAGCATCTCCGAAGACTGGAATTTCAACTAACGGCATTGAACCATCACGGGTAAAGCTTCGAGTACCGTTTGGCTCTGTTCATATATGTGTATTTTGTAATTTGAGTTTCTTAAAATGATCGGTAGCAGCGATGCATTGTGCTGGACATAGAAGGAACGACCACTCCAATTTCGTTTGTGACGGATGTTCTCTTTCCATATGCTCGTCATAATGTTAGGAAACATTTGGAGCTGACGTATGACACAGACGAAACTCAAGATGATATTAAACTACTACGAAGTCAAGTAAGTTTAGTTTTGTACAAAATGAGGTGTTGAGACAATAATTGGTTTCATGTTTCTTCGAACAGGTGCAAGAAGATTTAGCTAACGGTGTTGTAGGGGCAGTCCCGATTCCTGCAGATGGAAGGAAAGAGGAAGTCATTGCAGCCATAGTAGCTAACGTCGAGGCTATGATTAAAGCAGACAGAAAAATCACCTCCTTAAAACAACTGCAGGTCAGAATCTAACTGAAATTGTATTTGCTAATATGACCTGACCTCTTCCAAGAATCGGAAAAAATAAAATAAAATGCATAATTTCAAGAGATTCCGAACATCAACTGCCTCAGGGTCACATATGGCGAACCGGATTTCAGAGTAAAGAGATGGAGACTATAGTGTTCGATGATGTTCCTGATGCACTCGAGAAGTGGCACGATCATGGAATTAAGGTCCCTTTCGACATCCTTATTTGAACTTTGGCTCAAGATATATATTTCCAAGCTAAGAAACAAGAATCTTTCTTTAGGTGTACATATATTCCAGTGGGAGCAGACTGGCGCAACGGCTATTGTTTGGCAACACAAATTATGGGGATCTTAGGAAATACTTGTGTGGATTTTTTGACACAACGGTCGGGTGAGGTTATGCTTCTGATCGACATTTCAACCATGTTATTACACTTGATACATAATCTGAATTACAGGAACAAAAAGGAAACTAAAAGCTATATCGAAATCATGGAATCACTGGGAGTGGATGATCCATCCGAAATCTTATTCGTCACCGATGTCTATCCAGAAGCTACAGCTGCTAAAGCAGCAGGTAATGTTTCGCATTCCATATAATCCCTGAACTACAATTTCAAGTGACTGTCCTGCTGCCATTGTAATGCAGGTTTGGATGTGATCATATCGATTAGGCCCGGAAATGGAGCTCTTCCGGAGAATCATGGTTTTCGGACAGTGAACTCATTTGCAGAGATCTGAAGAGAAAATTCAGGTATCAAATGTGTGAAGTTGGCTTAGAATATTGAACAAATGTGCATTGCCAACAATAGTTTACATTTGTTGTTTCTTTGGGTATCATCTAAAAAGATTATTTTGAGCAGATTTTTGGGGGACCCATTTGAATTCAGTTCGATTAAGTTAAGCAATGAGAATCACATTATACTATCATCTCCCTCACCCTTCTCATGCTAGCCCTACATTTCCCTAGGGCTCTATCATACTTAAATGACGATGAGAATGAAAACAACGACCAAGATTATAGGGGTGGCGGAGCAAGAGTAGGTTCTTGGCCACTAGCACAAAGAAAACCACTCGAACAGGTGCAAGTTGCGATGCCAAAACCAAGAAGCATTGCTGGAATGTTCTGGGAGATCGGAACTGTGGTCGATGATGAGATAACCAATCTATGTCATCGACAAAAAGTAAAACACAACAATACTAAGAGAAGGTTTTCAGTAGCACTTCAAAATGGCAAGATATTTGCCTGTGTTGTTTTACACTAAATTAAGTTTCATATACCTCTCTGTTCTGCCTCTCATTATTAGTCTCCATTCCATCGATTTCAATAAGATACCAAAAAAGAAGACAATTAAATAAAAAAAACCCTGAAAACAAAATCACTCTGCTTACCGATTCATGCATCATACTGCTCGTTTGCATTGTAGGATCGACAGAACCCCTCATCTCTTCCGCATTCCTTAGGTTTCAGAACTCTTTAAATTAAGATACCTGTATCCGACTATTGCAAGTATCAGAGCCAACAAAGCAGCTGCTGCTGCTCCTCCCCATAGCCAATAGTTTGTTGCTTTCTTGCGCTTGAGGATGGCTTTCGGAAGGGGTTTCTGGCCCCGGGGGCGGTTTCTGTGCCTGATTGTGCTGTCTTTAGTATCCTTGCTCTTCTGTGGCGCCGGTATTTCTACTTTCTCCTCGATCTTCTCTGGTTCAGCAGCCTCGACAGTGGCTTCTGTAGATTCTTCAGGATCCGCGGTAGTAGCTCCACCACCAGTCTTCTTCTTTGCTCTCTTCTCGCGCTCCTTGATGAATTTCAGACAGGTAGTTTGATTTTAGAGCTCAACTGAAATTCTTGTGGGAGAGTAAGGGTAAACAATCATTATTACCTTGAGCTTCTTTTCGGCTTCTTTCTGAGCTTTTATTGCTGCTTTGGCAGCAGCTTTCTCTGCCAGCTTCTTCTTCCTTTCCTCTGCCTGCTTTCGCTTAGCTATTTCTTCCTGTCTCTTCATCTCCTTAAGTTTCTGCTCGTCGACTTCATCCTTCTTCTCCATTTGTGATTTGTTGCTAGAATAGTACTCCTGATCTGCTGGTTCAGTTTCTTCGACATTGGTTTCCTTCTTACTTCCTTCTTTCTGGTTTTTTGCACCCTTAGCTTTCTGAACTTTCTGCTCAGAAGTATCAATCTGGGCTAGGGGTACAGCATCCTCTTGGACAGTCTGTTTTACGCTTTTTTCAACAACCCTAGTTTCAGGTGCAGGTGCCTCTGGTAGCACAAGTGGTTTCTCGCCTGGATTCCTCATGCGGCCATCCTTACTCATCTGCCTCGTGTCAAGAGAGGGCAAAATTCTTCTTTCATAATCATCACGGAAATCTTTATTAGTATTCCAGAGGGGCATGAATTTCTCAACCTACCAAGGAAAACAACATATGTAACTATCGGTTTATAAATCAAATAACAGATAACATAGAGATTCAGTTAAAGTATATATAATAATCACCAAACCTCAGTAGTTGAAAGTTCCGTTAGTGCATCGAGGTCTTTGTTTGCAGCAAGTGATTTTGCTTTGGTCAAAAGTGTCCGGTTTTGGTAGAATGGTGCATTCTGAAATTCAGGATAGAAATTCATTAACAGCTAAGATCTATACCTTGATTTGAAATTTTTCTGAAGATCACTTCAAGGCATAAATTTGGGAAGGATCAAATATTTTCAACATATTCAAAGATATAGACAGGCTAGCATATTGTTTTATAGCATGAGGATAATATAGTCTATATAGACAAGAGAAAACTCAGATCAATACAGGTAATGGTATAAAAACATCAATCAAGACCATATGTTAAAGGAAAGTACCCCTTCTTCTCTCAGTTTCCTCAAATCCTTGATTGTTTCGAACACGGTGTCTCTCTTCTGCGAAACTGCTGTCAGCTCTGTCTCCAATGCACTTATCTCCTTTTCTATTGCCAATTTTGCTTCATCAAGCTGCTTAAGTTTGACATTGTTTGCTTGTTTTTCCTTTTTAGCTCCATCAAGATCCACTCCGATCAACTGAAATTATGTGGTAAGTTAATGATAAAGCTAACTCAACCTGAGCAAAGAAGCAAACTGTGAAATGAAGTCGTAACTTGTAAGAAAATTTTGTATTAATAGTGACTTACTTTAACCTGGTCCCGGATTGCATCTTTCTCCCCCATTGTGTCCTGAATCTGTGCCCTCTCAGTTGCATTGGCAATAACCTTTTCCCTAGTCCCTTCAAGCTGCTTTATTTCCCTTAGGATTTGTTTCTCTTCGCTGAGAGGAATGCTTTCATGCTGAATTCGATAATGTAAACTTCTAATCTGATGAAGTTTGGCGGCAAGGAAATATAAATCAATCATTATTCAACCAAAATCAAGTGGTAATCAATCCAAATATGTACAAGGTAGTCCATGTTAAATCTTACAACTTCATTGAGTTCTTCCTCAGATGAACATATGACTGCACCTCTATCTCTACCACCAGAACCTCTCAACTTGCCGAGAGCCTTCGTGAGAGGCTCTATTTCTTTTCGTTTTTCATCCATGATTGACTTAAACTGTTTGTTTTCAGCACTTAAAGCCCTTATTTGAGCAAGTAGCTCAGATCGATCTGCCTGCAAAAACATTCTTAGCAGTTAGCATCATTAATATTCTTTCAAGTTTCATCATCTGTTTCGCAATCCATATCTTTGTGTAACATCTATAAGCCATGAACATGCTATTGGTTTCAACTGAGAAATCCCACACAAGCTTTTTCACTGGGAATAAATTTCTATAACTAGAGATTACACTTTACACCTCACAATTAATCAGCATTCTATCTATAAGCTTCTATAAAATAAGATAGATATCAATTCAAGTAATGACTGGTGGCATAGGGACAGAAACTGCATAAAACATATACTGCTAGTGCAACGAAAGAAGAGAAAATCTGTTGGTTATCAAAATTACAAGTGAGAAACAAAAAGCTAATTGAGCTTAATGTCATTTACAACAAGAATTAGAAATAATTAAAGCCAAATACTATAAGCAAACTTGAGCACAACAACAAAAAGTATGTTCTGAAACTACTAGAAATCATTAGTCTGGACACAGCCGTAATAATAATTTTTAAAAATAGACAGTTTAGGAAAAAAGTTCATCTATATTTCAAACTTCTCTCTGGGGCACGCACCCATGACTAGGCCTTTTGAGAAACACAACCATCATAAACCCAGCATATTCAGGATATTTAAAGCTACTGTGCCCGCACTGAATACAGAATGAATTTCTACAACATTTACTTCCACAGTATCTGGCTACGGTCCCTCCAGTATACCAACATATTAACTAGTATCATCCTTCAAATTACAGAATGAGATTAAAATCATGTTAACGAATTGGCAATAACATAAAAGGAACTATTCATGCAAGCCACAATAGTGAAAAGAAGAAAAAAAAACATCAATGGACAAAAACAAAAAGATAATGGTGCCTACCCTTTTAGCTCTTAGTTTATCAATGATCTGTGACCGAAGCTGATTCTTTTTCTGCAGCTCTTTATCAGCCAAATCAAGTTTGGCCTTTAGATTCGGGTCTTCAAATGCACGATATCTAACAAAATAGAAGGAGTAAATCTGACTGGGCTCAGGCCACTCATCAGCTACATCCGTTGGGAGATTGGATTCAGCAACCTTGTCAGATTGCCACTCAACTGTCTCATCCACACCATGGGAACCAAACTTTATGCTAACATTCTCACTATCTACTGACATGTCCTTGTCGGTTTGAACTTCAGCAAAATCCAAGTTAGCTTTGGCAACCTCCACACCCATAATATGGAGTTGATGCCACCTATAAAGGCGCCGCTTGGAATTGCCCTGAAGCAAAAGGCAACAGGCAAACTTTGTGAATACAAATTATTAAGGCCACTTAGCTTTCAAGCTATATCAATGTCGATTCTTGTAGACATTAACGACATAGAACAGTAGTCTATTCAAACTCCAGGTTCATTAAAATCACAAAGTCCGGCGCAGCTTGACACTAAATATCTAATTATCTTATGAATCACAAATGGATCTGCATACAAATAAAGAGCACATCCATATAACACCACTTCAAACACCTCCCAAATAGCAAAAATAAACATTTACAACCCTAAATCGAATCAGATTAGCTTCGTGACATAACAAACCCGAATCAGCTAAAGAACGAGTGCTTCTCATCAGCATTTTTTCGGGTGGAACACCCAGAGAGGAAAAACAAAACAAAACAAAATAAATCTAGTTAACAAAAACCCATAGAATTATCAACATGCACGAGGAGATATTCAAAGCGAACGCAGACGAACAAATCACAGCCCGGCACCGATGATTCAGACAAACACACACCTCTCCATCCTCAATAGGGGGAAAAAGGATAAAACAAAGACGATCAAAACATAAATAAACCCACAGATCAAATCGAAAACAGTGAAGAAATTATAGAGAATTCGAAATTGGGGGATTGGAAAAGGAGAAGACAAAAAATAACATAAAATAAAAATACAAAAACAAAATTGGGGCAAACTTGGGCGATAGGCAGCACATGAAGAAACTTTTACCAAGAAGGAAAAAGAAGACGAGACGCGGAGATTCCGAGGAGAGAGCTTCGTAGACAGGATTAGAAAGCAGCAAAGCAGGCTCCCAGATCTCTTTGTCGATTACCACCGAGCGAGCGAGCGAGCGAGCGATTCTGGAATCCTCCAAAGATCGCCCAAACAACGAAGATAAAAATCTAAATGGTAAATAGCAAAGAATTATAGGAGATCGGAAATTTATTACGTATTCCCTCCGTCCCAGGTTACATTTTGCAAGTAAATAATTACGTAATATAAAACAATGATATTTCTATAAAAATTTAGAAGTGTATTTATTACTATTGCTAATTTAGAAAATAGTAAATTTGAAACGAAAATAAAAAATGACAATTTTTAAATAAGACGGATGGAGTATTTTTTTTACATTATTTGCTTTATTTATTTATATGTAAATTAACGAAAAATTATAGGGTTTCTTTGTTTAAGATATTGAATTTTGGTTTGTAATTTGAATAGTAAAAAAATTAAATTTGAATAGTTGTATAATGTGATATAAATATGTAAAATTAATTTTTATTATAATATAAAAAATAAAAAACATATGTTTAATTTAATATTTATGGAGAAAATTTTTATATGAATAGTATAAATCACCTCAAATCTTTAGAACAAACACACCGAAAATCCAGTTGTTTTAGATAAATTTTGAATTGAAAACATATACATGAATTTTTGACTATATTTGCTTTGTATTTTTAATTTGGAATATTTTTATACTATTAAATATGTAAAAATGTATAAATAATATAAAAAATATTATTTTATATTAAAATATTAGGTTTTATATTATATATTTTATTTTTTTATAATATTATTATAATATCTATTATTGTTTTTTTAAAAAAAAAATTAAAATATTTTTTAAATATTTTTTTCCCTAAAATGTTATTTATGTTTTTGATAATATTAATTCTGTAAAAAAATTCCCTAAAATACTTAGTCAAAATTCACTAAAATATTTTTGTAAGTTTATTTAAAAAATATTAAATTAAGTATTTATTATATTAAAAATTATTTTTATTTTTTAAAAAATATTATATTAAATTTTAGTTATATTATATTATCTTCGTGGGTTTATATTACTATTTTTTTAATTTGTCTATTAAACTAATATATTTATTTATAATAAATAATTATATCAATTTGTAATATTATGATTTATATTTTAATAAATAATAATTAATTTATCACTATTTGTTACTTAACTCATTTGTTTTTTTATTGTAACAATAATTTTATAATATTTCAATTTTATTTTTTTATTTACTATATTTTTATATTAAAATATAATTATTTTTAATTTTCATATTTAACCAAACAAACATAAATTTTTGTAAATTAAAAAATCTAAAATAATTGTTTTAATTTAAAGTTAAAATGGCATTGTCAAACCTCATGTTGTATTTTTGTATAATAAAAGTTGATTTCAATAAAAAAAAATCAATACAATTAAAGATAAAACTATTGTATTGAATCGAACCGGAAATAAAATACAGAAACGAAAATTAAACACATATCTGGTGCATGAAAATTAAACACATGCATCAGTTCGGCTTAAAATAGCCTCTACTAACCGATTTAAGTTTCGCACACCAAACCCTAACCACAATACTTCGTACCGAAAATCCTCATCAATACAAGAAGAAATTAACACAAATCTCTCAATCTTACACTATGAACTCAGCCCACAAATTTAGAGGAAAAACTCTACTACAAGACCCTCAATCGGTCGCACAAAGAACTGAAAGAAAGAAGACGACAAACTAAAAAAAAAAAAGTGACAGAACGACTAAATTTGAAGTGCAGCAGCATAGAAATATCATGTCACACTATTAATATAGATCAATGGCTAATAACAAAACTCTTAATCCAATAGCTTAGATTAGGTTTCGACTATTTAAACGGTTAGTTGGCTAGGCTAAAGAACTGGACCACGGCTTTTCAATTTTTGACTTTAATATACAAAGTCTGTCATTATATATCACATGTAAATACTTAACATTACTCTCCACTGCATAATAATATGACGCTGTTAGGTGACTCATCATTGTCACTTAGGTTTATACACAAAGTTGGTATTTACTAGAAAACAATCAATTAATAAATAAATAATACAAGAAACAGCAAAATAGGATGTAGTAAACAACTAATTGGATTTGAAATTTAAAATTTTTAGGCATCATTCAAATTTGAAAACAGACAGAGGTTTTGTCCCTATATCGGTAGAGTTAAATTATGAAGGTATTTCTTCAAGTTTTATAAAAAATTTTGCAATTATATCTCAAATAAAATAGAATATAATATCAACATACTTGGTTTTATCGTAAAAATAAAATTTTTATACAATCGAATAGATGATTGATTATCGAAAAATATATGTACCACATATTTTAAGTATCATATCCAATTTCAATCAATAGGCCCTTGAGCCATATGGCCTTTTTTATTGCCCTTGTAACTACAATATATATTCATATTATTTAGTCGACAGTGCAACTATGTATTACAAGTTGGTGAAGTTTTCCGGTAAGAAATATAATATTTTCTTGTGTTGATTTCGGGTTACCATAAGTCATTTCGCATCTTGGGCTACGTCGAAATCATTGTCCCTTAATCTCCAATGAAAGATCAAAAAAAGAATCGCCGGAGTTCACTGCAGTTGTCCCAGATGGAAATATGTTTGAATAATTCTGTTGATTCCGACTTCTGTTGTGCTAGTATTGTATATGTGTGTTTTTTTAGTTTTCTTTTCTATTTATGAGAAAATTTGCTCGCTTGCAAAAATAAAATTTTATGATGAAAATAAATTAATATTCAATTACACGATTATTAATTTCATAAATGTAATTTAATACATATTTATATTATTATATTTATTAATTAATCAAATCAATACATATCAAAATTCCTAAAAACTCAAACCATACCTAATAACATAAAGGAACAAAAAAAAAAAAAAAGAAAAATACAAACCAAATTCAAACCAAATTGTCAAAACCAAATTGTCAAACCTCCTACCAAACAAACCCTGTAAATCGATAATATTTAATTCAACCTTTATTAAATAAAGGTAAAATTAAATACCCATGCATTCTTCCCAACTGCTAACTGTCACCCCTTCCCCTATAAATGAGCACTCTTTCTTTCTCTCTCTCTCTCACACACATACATACATACAATACACACCTGAGTTCTTCAGCAATGGCGAAACTGTTGATGGTCCTGACGGCGGCGGCGCTCCTCCTGACGGCCAACTCCGCCGCCGCACAGCCCTTTCAGTTCCCGTTCCCCTACCAGTTCCCTCCGATGCCAAACTTGCCATTCCCGCTGCCCCAATTCCCGTTCCCGTTCCCGCCAATGCCGGGCTTCCAGTTTCCGCCACTGCCCCAGGATATTCCGCCGGGGATGAGCCCTCCGCCGCTAATGATGGCTGACGACGGCGGCGACGATCCTCCCGAGTACTGAAAGTGAATGGTGGTGGATACAGAATTATGGAAATAATATTTGATTAGTTATATAATGTTAATTTCCTTGATTTAATTGAAATACTAATGAATTGTTATTGTTCTGTCAATATAATGTCACACACAACTACAAATGCTATATTAATTGAAATTATATGTTAAAAATAAGCATCATCATAAAATACCATCTAGTTTGAGTGTACCAAATTTCTCTTCTCCATTGACAAGCATTTTCAGCCCAGCTTTCAACTCTGGAATTCCTTCTTCCAAAACAGCACAAACTGGGAAGATTGGGACACCAGGCACCCTCTGTTTTAATTCTTCGTATACCTCGGCAGCCCCCGTCTCGTCGATTTTATTGGCCACAACCAACGACGGTCGATCTGACAAGCCCTCCCGATACATCTCCAGTTCAAGCATCAAATCTTTCAGTTGTTGCCATGGAGGTATGCCCTTTCTACCATCTGTGGCCGCAGCCAGATCCACGACATAAGCCAAGACCTTGGTGCGTTCGATATGGCGTAAAAAATGATGTCCAAGCCCTCGATTTTCATGTGCTCCCCTTATGAGCCCAGGGATGTCGGCTACAGTGATGGAAATATCGTCGTATTTTAAGTTCCCTAGATTGGGCCTTAAGGTAGTGAAGGCATAATGGCCAACTACGGGCTTAGCTCTCGATAAAGCTCCAAGAAGTGTGCTTTTACCGGCATTTGGCATCCCTACAAAGCCCACATCAGCAATACTCTTGAGTTCTAGCAATAAGACGGTTTCAGAACCGGGAAATCCAACATGACTTGGAATGGTGTCTTCATTATCAGGGAGGTCGACTTTTGAATCTGTGGTCATGGACATTTTAGAACGCTTAGAAGATTGCACGTTGCCAAAGCCGCCACCGCCTCCTAAAGCGACAGTTACACGTTCACCAGGCTCTGTTAATTCAGCAACATTGTATTGTATATCATCTGTCCCTTCGTGATCTTCCCTGTCGGAATTTTCATCACTCTCAGGTCCAGATATATCTGCTTCACCTTCCGATTCTTCCTGAACACTATAGGCTTTTACCTTCTGAAATGAACTGGCTTCGGGATTGTTCTTGGTTTTAGCTATTGGAGGTGAAAATCGAGAACCCTTCATCTGTGGAGCGCGCGGAGATCTCTTTAAGGTTTGGTTGCTCAGCAGGGGTGCACTCTTGTCATCAATTCCAGCATTCTCCGAATCCACGGTTCTATTGGTACAAGATTGTTGAGAAGATTCAGAAGAAGTGGACTCAAGTTTACCAGGAATGTCCCAAGGATCTGTAGCTCCAGATGACTTCTTCTCGACAGCGGAAGGAAGTTCTCCCTCTAAAAGATGAATAACAGTGCCGACAGGCACCAAAACAACCTATCAGATGAACTTCTTTTCAGTCCAATGCATCAAGTGTTCTAAATAAACATGTGTAATGGAGCTAAACCTTAGAATTTGCAGTTAAGAATTACAGAACAACCTTATCGGCTCCTCGGCTTCCAATCATATTTTTGGGAGCCCCATGCCCTCCTCTCTTTGCATTCTGAAACAATCTCAAATGTATTAGAAAGAGGTTAGTGTAGCATCTTCATATGTGAAATATTCGAAAAAGAAAAACATTGGGCCATGGAAATGAATGCAAAAATAACAAAACAGAATAAGAAAATAAAAAGTAACTCACAACATGGTGTTGTAAACTGCTGAAATCCCAAACATCCGTTGAACATTCAAGGATTACATCACCACCTCTCCCACCACTCCCACCTGCATCAAGTAGATATCAAATTAAGAAAAGGTGCTATTGGAAGGATGGCCACTGCAATAGTCTTCTTAATTTGCCAAAGAAATTGATCAAATCCGAAGCAAATAAGTGAATTTCAATGTATTCTCACAAGGGATTCTATAAACTCAATCTTAATTAAGACAAACCTAACATTTTTGTTTGGCCATTAATTTACCTCAATTAATAGTTGATTGGATCTGTACCCAGAAAGAAAAAAGAGCAATGATTTTAACAGGTTAAAGAAACATTGTGAAGTGGCTAAAAAATTAATCAGTGGATACTATATAATCAGTACATTTCTAGGATAGTGACAAAGAACTACCATCAGGGGTCCCTCGGCGATCATGGCGGCTGCGACGAAAGCTGGAACAACCATTGCCTCCATCACCTCCTTTAGCCCATAAGCTAAATCGATCTATCATTTTGCGCTCCTACATCAAAACAGGGAACAAGCACAGACATATTCATTAAACAAGAGTGAGTTAACTACACTTAGTTCTGTACATAGTCGAAGACAAATTCATGTGAAAATATGAAGTATTGTGAGAAGAGAGAGGCAATTTACCAGTAGAGGTGCTATCTTCTTTTTCTTGTAAGGAATATCTGAATAGGAAGATGATTGGGCAACCCATTGCAAACTTGAGAATTTTGAAACAGCCTCTAAATATCTCAATGCATTCTTGCTACCTAACCACATGCCTTTCCAATAGTTTGTCATTCAGACCACCACTATCTCATCTCATGAACCCTAAACGTAACAACATAAGTTTCTCATTAACAAAGTTATTCTTTAAAATGCTTACTATAAGATCAAATGGGATAGTATTCGATTACATATATTTTAGTGTTTTATAAGTGATATTAAAAATAAATATATGTATATCAAAACTGAATGATGTGATCATATATATTATTTTTAATATCAATACAACAATGTATAATTGTAACAAATTCAAAAACTACCAATTAACCATAAAACTGCAACTTATTAGCATAGGTTTGCTATTTTATCATGTCCTGCTCATTCATAAAGATATCAAGGGTGTGTTTGTTTGAGGGATTTGTTTGGATTTTCACTATTCATCCTATTTTTTTTCCCAAAAAATATCAAATCAAACACCTATTTTTCATTTTTTATATTATACTAAAAATCAATTTTACATTCAAAACATCACATCAACACCTATTTATATCACATCATACAATTATTCAAATTCAAAATTTTTACTATTCAAATCCCAACTCAAAATCCAAACCCTCAAACAAACACACCCTAAGACTATCCCTACTTTTAAAGTATGTATCCATTACATTTAACTGATAGATATATCGAGACATAACAAAAACAAAAATACAAGTACAAGTAGCCAAACATGACACATACAAACAAATACATTGCCAAGAACTAACAAATATAACCTCTAAGCAGACAGGGTCAAATACAACAGTAAAAAAACACAACAAACCAATCTAAGTCCATATTAAATCCAAATTTGAACAATCTAAGCATGGAAGTAAATTTTGGTAAATTTCTAGTAACAAACCATGCAACGAAGCAAACAATTCCCAAACAGCTGTGCTTTGGACACAGGAAGACCTATGATATACTTATATATTGATTTAAAGCATATACACAATAGAACTTTTTATCATGTCAATCCAACGCTCACCATGTAGAGTTGGTTGTGGATGTGGTGAATAGTAAGAGTTGATCTAGTCGACACAAAGACCTGGATTAACATAAGAAGCTGAAAGAAAAAGAACAAATACATTAACAGAATATATCAGAAGTTTTTACAGACAACGCTCATTTTCCATGAAAAAACTAGTGAAAGAACATATGAGAGCAAAAGCAAATTAGTATAAAAATAAGCAACTTAATACAAAGCATTTTTATCACCAAAATTGCATACTATAATGAAAATATTGCGGACAGAGCAGTGGAGCGGCGGAAGGACTGCGACGAAGGAGGAACGCCGGCGTCGGGCTTGGAGGCGGTTGTCGAATCGAAGGCGAGGAGAAGAAGCGAGGGGGAGACGATGACGGACTGGGCAATGGACGACTCCGGCGGATGGAAGACGGCGGCGCTGAAAGAGGGCGACGCCGGCGGTGGAGGGGGCTCGATCGATAGGTGCGAGAGAGAGGCGCGAGAGCGAGAAAGAGCTGTGCGGGTTCGGGTAGGGTTTAATTTGCGAATAGGGATTGGATAATTAGGGTGTGTTTGGTAAAATGACGATAGGGTAAAGAAGGAATTTTAAAGAAAGTGACAACAAGAAATATTAAAATTATAATATTGCTAATATCCTACTACAATATATAAATAAAAATAAAATTGTAATAGAAAATAAATTATGTTAAATTGCAAAAAATTCGTCACTAATTTCATGCAAAATTCTTTATTCTTTTAAAATTTATCAAATTTTTTTTTTCATAAACTTTGCGTACGGTGTTTGACCTAGCCTTCAAATTATGAAAGAATTTTATATTAATAATTCATAAATTTTTAAAATTATAAATATATTTATTTATCTTATGTTTAAAAATAATTATTTTGAAGTATAATTATTATTTTTTGATGTTAAATAATACCAATAAGTAATTTAAGGGTTTAGAAATAAAAATAGTAAAACTTATTCGTATTTTGGGCGTGCCCGTCAAACACCGTTAAATAAGAACAGCGGAGGGGTAAGACTCAAAGTTTATGAAAATGAGAAAGTTTGACGCACTTTGGAAAGAACGAGATTTTATGGTAAAATTACACGTGAATTTTGGTGTAATTTAGCTGATAAATTATACGGTAAATATAACTTATAAGACTAAATAAATAATTATGATTGAAATTTTACGGAATTAATTCGACTATTAAATTAAAAATAATTTTATTTAATTTATTTTATAATATTCGTTCTGCTCTTTGAGTCGTTCTCAGTGTGAAAAAAATATATGTATTATACATCTAAATTAAAAAAATAAATAAATTAACATGTTATGAATACAATAATAATATAAAGCCGTGCATATGAGACGATGCTAGTAATAATATATTACTGATTAGGGTTTACGTACTTAAAATATTTTAATTCAACGTACATGCAAATATAAAAATTTAAAAACAATTCAATAAAATCTTATTGCAGGCCAATGTTCCAGAAGAATCATCTGCTATTATTTTTATACAATTACAAAGAACTTAATAAAATAATAATAATAATAATAATAAATAAATAAATAAATAAATAATAGAAACCAAGAGAACTCTTACTCAAGTATCAAGAAAACAAAAACACCTTCAAAAAAATTATCGGAAAAAATGGGGATTCGTTCTTTTGAGTTTTCGGTCAAACGAAAAAACAGCATGATTAAATGCTTTTCCGTTCTTTAAATCTTCAACAATTTTATTTTCTTAAACTTTTATTTATTTATTTTTTTCAAAAAAAAATTTAATTTTTTTTTTTCAACAAAAAAAAAAAAAAAAAAAGATTGGCCCAACGAAACAGCAACAGAAATTTGCACACATATCTCACCCACTCCTTAATCTGGAACTGGTTTATCCCACGTAATCTACCTATCTATCGAATTCCAGAATTCTTATTCATCGAATCGATCGCCATTGTTGCTGTTTTTGTTATTATTATTCCAGCATGGCCTTCGTTGTTCGATAGTAATTTATTGATTTCACTGTAGATCCATCTCTCCGCTCCACTGCGTTTTCGAAGGAAACAGGTATGTTTGTTTTATTATTATAATTATTAATTCATATGTTTTGATCCTTTGTTAGGTCTGTGAGTTGTTGTTGTTGATGTGTAACTGTAGTGTGTTTCTTTGGAATAGTGTTTCCCTAAGCTTCATGCAATTCATGCCCTGTGAACGTTTTTTTTTTTTTTTTTTTTATTTTTTAGGGATTTCGTTTTGGGAGAATCGTGTGGGATAAGCTTGTGTTGATGATCCAATTTTTGAGAATTATCGACTACTTTTGTTGATGTTTGTTATAACTTATAAGCATTCATTATTCTCATGTGGTGTGTATGATTTCGATCCGAAATTAGGGCTCGTAGATTGCTCGGATTTGTTCTTTTACATCTGTTGCAGAGTTCATCAATGGCTACACTGTTCTCTCTGCACATTAATCAACTCTGTTTTCATGTTTTTTTCGATTAAACAGCAGCTGCATTGATTGATCGATCCTCGATTCAATCGAGGGAGTCGGCAACATCCATAAATCGATCAATCCGGTGGCCTTAAGGCTGGAGGATCTTCGATTACGGAACTCCTGGTGGAGCCGATGCTCGAAGGCTTTGCCAATGGGGTACGGCGGCGGCGTGGAGAGAAAATGGGTGTTCCCGATAGTTATAACCTCGCTGATTTGCGTGTTTCTCCTTGCGACGTCGTTCAACATGGGGCTAATCTCATCGGTGAACACAATCAATTTGCTCGCTTCTTCGCTGCTCCACGGACATGCCGTGATGAATCAAACTTCTCATATATCGACACCTTCCCCGCCCCCGCCCCCTCCCAAGTTCGCCTACTTGATCTCCGGGTCGCGCGGAGATTTGGAGAAGCTGTGGAGGACTCTCCACGTGCTCTACCATCCGTGGAACTATTACGTCGTGCATTTGGACCTCGAGGCGCCGTTGGAGGAGAGGTTGGAGCTCGCACGCCGCGTGAAGAACCATACACTTTTTAGACAGGTCGGGAATATCTATATGAACGAGAAGGCGAACATGGTTACGTATAGAGGGCCAACGATGGTCTCAAATACGCTCCATGCTTGCGCGATTTTTCTGAGGAGGATTCGGGATTGGGATTGGTTTATTAATCTCAGCGCCTCCGATTATCCGTTGGTGACTCAAGATGGTGCGCGCCGTCCTCCTCGACTGCTTTTTTTTTTTTTTTTGTCGATTCGATTACTGATATTGGCTTCTGTCTCAGATCTGATTCACACATTTTCAAGTCTTGAGCGCAACCTCAATTTCGTCGAGCACACGAGCGACTTGGGCTGGAAAGCGTAAGTTGGTAGTAGTCGTTGGCGCGCCATTGTCTGAAAAATTTTCATGTATGAAAATGTGGCTTCGATGCAGGACCGAGAGAGGGATGCCTCTGATCGTCGATCCCGGGCTCTACGAGAGAAACAAAAGCGACATATTTTGGGCCGATCCGAAGAGGAACTTACCTACCGCATTCAAATTGTTCACCGGTAGGTACACACATCGATCCGAAACGATGATGATTACAACAGCCACCATGACGATGACATATTCCTGGTGTTGCAGGTTCAGCTTGGACAGTCTTATCCCGGGCATTCGTCGACTTCTGCATATGGGGGACGGACAATCTCCCGAGAACCCTCCTCATGTACTACACGAATTTCGTGTCCTCTCCCGAGTTCTACTTCCAGACCGTAATCTGCAACAGCCCCCGATTCATATCGACTGTCGTCAACCACGACATGCATTTCATCTCCTGGGACGACCCCCCGCAGCAGCACCCTCGGACGCTGACCCTAAACGACACTGGCGACATGCTAGAAAGCGGTGCACCATTCGCCCGCAAATTCAAGATGAACTCCGCCGTCCTGCGCAAGATCGACGTTGAAGTCCTCTGGCGAAAAAACGAGAGCTTCGTCCCCGGCGGATGGTGCAAAGGCAAACCTAAGTGTTCCAAGGTCGGAAATCCGACAAAGCTCCGGCCGGGCCCCGGCGCCGAGAGGCTTAAAAAGCTTATAAATAAGCTAATGTCAGATAGGGTAACTCAACCTCCCTGTACTTAGCTAGCTAGGCAGAGGCAGTTAGTTCCATTTTCACTGTATCATTGATCATTAAATTTTACCATATTTATCCACAGATCCTCCAGCAATAATGCATTTTTGCCACCATTTTTGTGAGTCAAAGTGGCACTAAAATTGCATCCAAATTGTTTTTGTGTTTTCGATCGATTGGTACCTTTTGTGGTCTGAAACTTGTCCTGTATTTAGACATGGTGAAATCATCAATCAATGTATAGACATTTCTCCCCAAACCTTTTTTGTTCTTTTTACAATGGACAACATACGCATCCGAATCTTTCTTACAGTTAAAAAAAACCAGTGTGGTGTACTCTACAGTAGGGCCAAAAATTTTTTCTAGTAGAAAACAGTTTTCTACTGAAGTACCTCTCGCCTGCCTGGCTGTCGTTGTCGTCGTCGTTGTCGACGTCTGCTTGATTCGGTCCCGGCATTGTGCATTTGTATCAGTTGCCATTCGGGCTTTGGTTGCGTCGGTCAAGCCATCTCCAAAAGCTTGATGTTTCCCATGGTGTTTGCGGCAACTAAGGTGGAAGATTGCCCGCGCCAGCAAACGGACGAGATGAACTGTGCAGTGTCGTCCACTTCGTCGCCCGAAAGAGGATCTGTGCTGTTGAATTTAAAAGACAGCGCAGGCATTGGGAAAGCCTTGTGGTAAACGTAAACCTGCAACATTCGGAAAGTTCGTAAGCCGACAGCGAAAACTACAGTTTCAGGCCTAAGCATATATAGAGGATACTATCGCATTACAATTCGAGCAACAATGTGAATCGGTTATGTAGGAGATACCTCATTTGTTTCGGAGCCAGTAGCAATATAGCCTTCGGATACAGACAAGCCGACAAAATTCTGAAATTTACATCATTCTAGTGTCAAATATCGTACAAGATCATACACTGAACAATCTGCGACGCAACAATTCAATATAAGTGCATAATACCTTTATATTCAGGTGTCCCGTAAATGACTGAAGCGGACAATCCAGAACTCTCGAAGTGCACATCGACAAATCCCACAGTTTTAGCGTGTTGTCCGTGGATGCAGACACAAGCGTGGTCGAATCAATGAACTTAACATAGCTCACGGTTTTATTGTGCCCGACGAGAGTACAGAGAGGCATCTTCGAGTTGCGAAGATCATAGTAATATATTTTATGATCCGCCGAGCCGAATGCAAGAGAACGGCCAGAGTCAGTTGGGAACTGAACACAGCAGACATTGGCCTTCGTCCTGATGGTACCGAGACTTGCCCCCTGCAGTTTTGCCGCGTATTAGAACAAGGAAACTATATGCAAAACCAGAATCGAACACAGACAACAACGATAACTTGATATGCTGTAGTACGTTCAGTTTCAAAGCTGACATACACCAAGTGTGAAAATAGAATTGCCTGATTGATATTCCAAAGCTTAACAGAACCGTCGTCGCTCCCGCTGGCCAGCAGCGTCGGATCAGCCACTGAAAAGTCCACAGACCACACGCGCCGTTCGTGTTCTTTCATTTCTATGAATGTCTGCCTTCTCGAGACATCCCACACCTGAAAATAAATAAATAGATTAATAGTTGGGATGATTTTCGAAAAATAGCTTTTGAAGTAGGACGCCTATTTTTCAAGTTTAAATTTACCTGCACGACTCCATCGAAGTTACTCGAAGCAATTTGGCCTTTGATGTATCCATTCCAGCATGTGCTGCTGAGCTTCGACCTACCTGACATCTCAACCACAGGATAATGAATGTCGCGATCTTCGCTCAATATGGAGTTATAGTCGAACACTTTGATCTTCTTATTTACTCCAGCAGTGGCGAAAAATTCCCCGTCGCGGTCAAAACTAAGCGAGCATACCAGGTTGGAAGAGTTTAGGAGATCTCCTTGCTTTAAGTTTGCTTTAACTTTTAGCGAACTATACGACAAGTACTTCGATAACCCTTCCAGGAATGTATTTACCCATCCTCTCTGCCCAAGTTCGTTGGGCCGCTCTTTCAATGATTGATTACTGATAGAACTTCTTTCGGTTGCAACAATGGATCCTCGACCGCCGCTGCTCAGTGGAGAAGGCCTGGCCAACAATCCGCCAGCCGGTTTTACAAACCTGCGCCTCGTCAAAAAATAAGCAGACTCGAATTTCCTGAAATTCTTCATTAGCCTACTGCTTTTCGGGAGAGCACTTGCTTGATGTCTCTCCGACTTATGATGATCATCCGGATGGTTATTGGATTCACGTGAATTTCCAATGCAAAGACCTTGGCGAACGCGCTTTCTGGAGCCGGAGAAGCCAGAATCATCATCGTCTGTCATGTTCACAGAAAGGGGGCCGGCTGTAGAATTCTGGCTCGGATCCAAGTTCGGGTCAGCTTTTGCCCTGAGAGCTGTCTGCATGTTTGTTGCTTCCTCAATGTCGGAAGATATGAATGATATTGTCTCGTTCAAGCTATCAGTTGCGTCTTGCTTTCTTTGTTGCAATAAAAGAAGGAATTCCAGCAACAATTCCTGCTCCTCTATCTTCTCCCGTAGTTCTAGAGCAGCTTCTCGTTCCTCTATGTCATCTCTTGGTTCGTTTAAAAACTCACTGTGCAACAGCTCACTGTTAAGCAGTTCGAAAAAGCATTAGCATCAGCAATCAAGTTCACCGATATTTTGCAAAGTGAATGAACATTGAAACTACCAAGAAATAATAGCAACAACATTCGATTCGACCAATTTCTTGCTCCACAGAAGAAAAATGTTCGTAATTCATAGACCTTTGTATGATTGAAGAAGAGATGACAACTGCTCAGCTATCAATTCCGCATAATACAATGACATGAACTCTAAAATGTATTACAGACATCAATGGAGAACATAAAATTTATATACAATAGGTTAGAAAGAAATTGCAGAAGCTTCAACAACAATAACAAATTTGCACCTCATTTTAGGTCGGCAACTCGGCTCGGGATGGAGCAGCCACAGGCAGAAGGAAGTTTGTTTAGGCCATGTGAGAAGCATCTGCGGAGGGAGCACCCGGTGTCTCAAACTTGCCATTGTTGTGCTCTTCTCTTCCAGCGAATCGAATGCGTAAAACAGCTGTGATCATGCATAAAAATGGATGGATACAGCTAAATGTTGATTCATACATCGAAAATAAGCAAGCAGGAATAAAACTCGTCAACAATTAGGGAAGACGAAGGTCCCTATGTATTTATTGTACCTCAAACAGCAACACGCCGAGCTGGTAAATGTCGGAAGCGCAAGAGGTAGGGGCGCCGGCGGCCTCCTCGGGACTCCGGTACCAATTCGGTTCCACAAGCAAAATTTGTTTCAGTGTAGAATTATGCCTCCTCAGGTTTCCGGAGAAATGCATTGCCGGAGGCGGCGACGAATCCTTGAACTCAGCCATTTGAGGATTCGATCCGCAATCGAGCGAGTCGGAGGCGCAATCGGAGTAATTGGACGGCGATTCTGCGAAAGTGACGCGATTAAATGAGGAAATTGTGAAGCAGGAGGGGCGAACGTTGTGGACGACGATGCCTTGGGAATGCGCGCGGTTCACAATGTCTGCAATTTGGGAAAAAATGTGAAGGCATTCTAGGGCATCCACTTTTCTTCCAGGAGTATCCAACCACTGCCTAAGACTAACATCTTTACATTCCGCCGCTACGCCAACGCTTCCGCCGCCGCCGCCGCCGACGCCAACGCCGCAGTCGCCAAACGGAGCTCTGAGATGACTTACCTGAGGCCACAGGGTTTTATCCCTCCCTTTCCTCGAAGACAAAAACCCGCCGGAATCACGAGACGTGTTGTCGCCGGAGGACCTCGCCCGGGCGGCTCGGGGATTCCGGTCCAACAACGACGAAGAATTCAACCCGGTCGAATTATCCGACCGCGGCCAACCGGACTCCGACGAACCATCCATAACCGCCGCCGCCGACTATCTTAAGCAGTGAACAAACCCCAGCACACAAACACAGACTACACATACAGAATCGAACGGTCGATTTTAACCCTGAGGATTCTAAGCCTTTTCTTTTTTCCTCCGCCGCCGGTAAATTCTCCGATCAAATAAGTCGCGAAATCGCCGCCATAAAAAAAGTAGGACCTGTACCTGACTACGCTTAGAAGTAGGACCTGTACCTGACTACGCTTACTTGGCAATGGATCATACACAGAAACGAAATTCAGACAAGCGTCACGCGGATAGAACCGCCATCGATCATCAACAGGTGTAAGAACGCCATGAAAGCCGACAACTGAAGAAAACCCTTCTCAAAGGGCGGCTATCGGAAAATCAGAGAAAACACACATCAGGGACAGATGCAAACAAATTAGGAGCAGTATGAACACAGAGAGAGGAACACAGCAAGCAGCACCAAGTTTCGACAACTATGGACATGAGAGAGAGAGAGAGAGAGAGAGGAAGAAAGAGAGAGAAACAAACAAAAGAACAAGAACCACACAAATAGATACTCACAGCCCGTTTGAATCCCCAAAACACCATTCAATATTCCACCCACAAAATTAATTAAAATTAAAAAATAATAATAGCAATCCAAACATTTGTATCTTTCTTCTCCGCAGCACAATAAAAAAAGAAAAAGAAAAGAAGAACAAAACCCAGAAAGAGATCAAAAAATCGCAGGCCATTGCTTGGAAATGCACCGTGGTATTTTTCTGCAAGATTATTTTATTCTTTTTCTATAAATTCTTTTATTTTTTTTATTGTATATTTTATTATTACTTCTGCACAGTCTATATGTAATAATAAATGTTGGAAAACCTAAGCAGATTTTGAGATGTTCTGAACCACATTCATCGCAACGGCTACGTGGCTCTTCGCCACCCGCACGTTCCGTACATAGTATAAGTTATTTATCGTTTCCATTCTGGGCAGGTCTTATGTTGCTCTGTTAAAATATAAAATGAAATAATAATAATTTTAAATTAAAAAGACATCATTTTTATGTGGGGCCAACGTGAATTTTCCGATGACAGTCGCCACAACTTCAATTTTTTGTTTTTATGAAAAAAAATAATAATAATCAGAAATTAATGGACACCACTTGACAACATGTTACAAATCAAGAATAATTAATAAATAAAGATAACAGAATGATTCAATATACACACATCTATGTGAAGTTTTAATTATTATATTTATATTTATAGGGAAAAGTTGGAGTTTTTTTATTTAATTAAGCTAATTGTGATGATGCAAAGTGCAAAGTTGGATATTAATAATGTGATTGATTATATTTTAATTAGTAATTAAAATGCAATCGTCACTCGTCATGGTACATGCACTGTCACTGATCGGCCATGGGAAACGTGCCCTCTCTTTGTTTATTTTTTTTTGTCACACATAAATTGTTCATTGTCTGTTTTATATAATTTGTGTTTTTATTTTTTTAAAAAATAATTATATATTTTAATTATATTTTATAATTTATATATTTTTTAATTTAATTAAATTATTTTAATTTAATTTATAATTATTTTTATTAATATATTATTTAATTATTTATCGGTTATATTTTACTTAAATTATAATACCTATAATAACGTGAATCCTTTTAGGTTGTGTTTGTTTGGGATTGAATTTTAAATTCACTGTTCATTCCATTTTTTTCCAAAAAATCAAATTAAACACCTATTTTTTATTTTTTATATTATACTAAAAATCAATTTTACATTCAAAACATCACATCAACACCTATTTATATCACATCTTACAATTATTCAAATTCAAAATTTTTATTATTCAAATCTCAACTCAAAATTCAAACCCTCAAACAAACGCACGTTAGTAGATTGAAAAAAACATTAATTTACTAGTGGCATACACATTCTCCAAACTTAAACACTCCGCTCATACAAGAGATTTTTAGGAATTTTAGTTTTTAAAAATAAGAAATTAAAATAATAAAAAATAGTATTTAATGTGATATATTAATAATAATAATAATATATTATGTCATTCCAGCTCTAAAAATCTCATTTACTTTTTTTACGTATTGATTTTGAATATTAATTATTATATAAAAATGTAACGTAAATTAAAAAAAAATGACAAAAAATACTTCTATTAGTATCTAATATTACTATGACATGACATTTGTGCAAAAAAATTATACAAAATATAATAATATTTTAATGTTAAGCAAAAGATAAATGAAACTATAAGAACCGAGGAAATATATGATATGATATCTTTAAAAATATATAAGTGCTAAAAAACCAAAATTATTGTCTAAATTGAAGCAAGCCCCCTAATTTTGTATATAGACTCAATTTTTCTATTGAAAAAGAGTGTACATAGGAAGATCAATTAATAAGACATTGTTCAAAAAAATTATTGGTGTGTTTGGATTTAGATCCAACTATTCATCCAATTTCCCTCATCCCCTAAAAAATATCAAATTAAACACCTATTTTTATTTTTTTATATTATACTAAAAATCAATTTTACATTCAAAACACCACATCAACATCTACTTATATCACATCATACAGCTATTCAAATTCAAAATTTTTACTATTCAAATCTCAACTCAAAATCCAAACCCCCAAGCAAACACACAAAGGTATTAATTTGATTATTGCCCAACTTTTTATAATGATATTGCCTTTGGATGTATGACTTTAGTATTTAAAGAATGAATATGTAAAGTTCATGTATTTTAAATTTAAGATAAGCATGAGTGATGAACGAAATTACTTTTATCGGATTATAAATTAAACAATTTTGTGATGAAATTTTCTTGATTCAGACCAAATATGTGAAGAACATGATGCATAAATTTGATATATAGAGTTCTAAAGTTGTTAAAAAATCGTTCAGACAATACGATAAACTGTTAGAAATATGTTAATGAAGATGACATTATCAGAAGTTGTAGAAAAACATTATTGTAAGTTTATTGTATCTAACAATTAGCCATCCAGAAATTGCATTTAGTATTGGTATATATGCTCCATTTTAACACTAACTATATAATTAATTTAGTATCTAACATTTTAATTTTAAAATTCAGATTGTGTCTGAACTTGTGCAAACCATGTCATCTCTGACTCAATATGATTTATGAAATAAATTTTAATATTAACTATTTTTAAATATATTATAAATATATAATAAATTAATCATATAGTTAGTGTTAGAATTTTTATTTATAATAAATATATTATTTTTTTATCATAATTATATTTATTAAATTAACATAATTTATCTTTTAATACAAATTTATGCAAAAACATATTTTACAAAATTAAAAATTAGGCTAGCCTGGCCGGACAATTTGAATCGGGTAGTAGCTGGGTTTAAGTTTTCAAGTCCAAATTAAAATTTGGTTAGATCAACTCAAAATTATTATTCTAATTAAAATTTATAATTATTTTTAAACCATTTTAAGATATGATTTATTTATAATTTTTATTTCTATTTGTTGATCTCATGCTTTTAATTTTTCTATATTAATAATATTTGTTTTTTTTTTAAAAAAAAAATTATAAATAGTTGTTATGGACTAGGCCTTGCTTGCACCCAGCATTGGCTTCTAAAACTAAGCCACTGTGTATCTTTTTATTGTTGGAATTGAAAAAAAAAAAAAAAAAAAAAAAAATCCTCTTGAAAATAGATGGACATAAATAATATATATATATATATATACTCTAAGGTACCAATTGTTGTTTCAATAAGTCTTTATGGTTGTGTTTGTTGGGGTCAGTTTGGCCTTAATTTTTATTATTCATAAATTTTTGTTTTAAAAAATATTAAATTAAATATTTATTTTTTATATTATATAAAAATAAAATTTACATTTAAAATATCGCATAAATATATATATTATTAAATAACAAGTTTAATTTAAAATTTTATTATTCAAAATTTAAAATCCAATACTCAATCTCACATCCTATATATATTTATATATATATATTTCATTCATAATGACGTATATATATTTATAATTGTTTATTAATTTTTTAAATAAGATAGCATTTCTCTTCATATGATAGAAGTAATTTAAGTTTGCCTAAAACGAGATGAAAGTGATGTTGTTGGAATTATCTACTAAATAAAACTCTTTAACAACCGTAAGAAACAGAATTCTCAATACTATTAGAGTAAAAATATGACTTGCTCGTTAACAACAAAGTTATAATCGATAATGAAATTTGCTCAATCGCAATAAAGTTAGAGTAAAAAAAAAAAAAAGATTCTCTCGTTTATAACGGAGCTAAAGTAAAAAAAATAAAACTCTCAACAAAATTAGAGTCGAAAATATAACCCTTCCGTAAAAATAGAAATGACGGCAATAACTGGGCGATGAATAACAATAGATACATCAACGAAATATATACTATATATAACATGTTACATCAGCTAAATATATACAAGATATAACATATTTGTGTTTGACTGTTTGTGTTTGTTTGCAAGTTTTTTTTTCTTTCTATTTATAAAACTTTTTTTTTCTTACAAAAATATTAAATTAAATATTAATAGATTTTATTTTTCACATTATATAAATATTTAATTTTAGTTTTAAAATATTATATCAATATATCTATTTATATTATGTCAAATAATTATGATCATAAATTTTGATGGGCTTCGTACAAAAATAAAAAAGAGGCTTGATTTTATTTTTTTTTAATATGTAAATAAATAAAGATATAATTTTTTAAAACATTTTCTAGGGTTTTTTAGTTCTATAGGTGTGTTTTGTTTGGGGGTTTGGATTTTGAGTTGAGATTTGAATAATAAAAATTTTGAATTTGAATAGTTGTATGATGTGATATAAATAGGTGTTGATGCGATGTTTTGAATGTAAAATTGATTTTTAGTATAATATAGAAAATGAAAAATAGGTGTTTGATTTGATTTTTTGAGAAAAAAATTGAATGAATAGTATATTTAAAATCCAATCCCCAAACAAACACACCCTTAATGAAAACATATATTTTTTTAATAAAATTATTAAAATATCACATTAAAGTATATTTAAATTAAAATTTAAATAAAAAAATTCAAATTTAAATACAAGTCCAACAAATATCATTATATATAAATATATTTCAATATTATGGATATATTTATAGTATTTGTTATATATATTATTAATAAAAATAGGTTCCCAAAAGTTGGATGATTATTGAAATAACTTTCTATATTATAAGTGTAATTATTTGAGACTGTAAAATTTCGAAATGAGCTATTTTGGGGGTCATTTGAAAAATATTTCGATGGATTCTTTTTTATATAGAGAAATGAATATAAATCAAAAATAGATTTGCGAATAATTTTTGTGAGAGTATATTCCCTCACAGAAATCCTTAGGAAATATTTGCAAGAAAATTTTCGTGGCTTTTGAATTATCGAGGAGTGGGATTGCGAGGATAAAAATTCCTCGAAAATTCCGTCAACAATAATGTTAGTGAGGCATAAAATATGATTTGTAGTGTTTATTAAGAAGTTTATAATAAATGGTGGAACAAGTAGAAATTCATTAGCAAAATAATTATTGTAATAAGAATAGAAATTATAGATAAATAATTTTTTTTATTATTATTTTTAAAAAGAAAGACGCGAGGTTAGACTCGTGAATGTAAAGTCGTGGGTTCAAACCCACGATGTCTCAGTTCACGTGTCACGCATAGTTCGCCTAGCGATAACGAAGAAAGAAATAAGAAATGGGTTCAAACCCCCCGACACCTCCTGTCACCTGCTACACATAGTTCGTCTAGTGTGACTTTTTCGTCGGATCTAATTTACAGGGTATTAGATTCGGCCAGGGGTTTAAAGAAATAAGAAATGGGTTCAAACCCCCGACGCCTCCGGTCACCTGCTACACATAGTTTGCCTAATGTGACTTTTTCGTCGGACCTAATTTACAGGGTATTAGATTCAGCCAGGAGTTGACCAGTGCGCATTTTTGGGTTCCCAAGTCATAAAAATAAATAAATAAATAAATGGAGAAAAAGAATAGGACAAGCAATGGTATGACATGGTGTCGGCAATAACCTCATCCAATCCAAATGAGATATTATTAATTAATATAAATATCTATTTAAATAAAATAAATACATACATGACGTACATGGTCCATTTATCCATGCCCATTTCAACCTCAATTATTATTATTATTATTATTATTATCTTATCCGATCTGATCTACTTATGTATACAAATTGAGCCCCAAACAAAAACACTAATCAGTCACTCACTACTCTACTCATTTTCGTTCTATTTATATATATATTTTTTTATAATCCGAAAATCCACGATCGCTATCCGAAAATAAGTATTAAGGGTCGGCCGAATTTAATGCCCAGCAGGCTAGGCCCGATAAAACAAGTCATACTAGGCGAACCATGCATGACAGGTCACGTGAGGCGTCAAAACATTTGAACTCGTGACTTCACGGCCAGAATATTATATAATTTATTTTTATTAAAAAATATAATATCTATATATATAAATCTTTTGTATAAATAATATTTAATGTGATATATTATGAGAAAAAATAATATTACATTAGTTAGGGTTTAAGGATCTCATTTACTTTTTTGTTGTTAGATCTTTGAAAATTAATTATTATATTAAAATGTACTCCAAATTAAGAAAAAATTGTAAAAATATTTTTATCGTTGTCTTATAATATTAATAAAATGATATTTGTATAAAAAATTATACAAATATAAAAATATTTTTAATGTTAAGTATAACGACGTAACAGGTAAATATGACCTTAGAGGCGGACAGAGGGAGTTTATTTTTGGACTAACATTCCAATCAAATCTCTTGACGAGGATTATTATATATATATATATATCTCTATACATATACGTAGGGTGTATTGTTCATAAGAGATGTGGTGTGGTGGGTTCTTCTTGATGTGTATGATCCATTCTGCAGTGGCGCTGATCTCCGGCGGGCTGATGATGTTCTACACCGACGAGGCGCTGGCGGTGGGGTCGACGGCGCACGACCGGCTGCTAATCCGGACGTCGGAATCTTTCTCCGGCCTGCTGCTGTCGGGGGTGGGGGTGGTGCTGTTCATGGTGGCGTTCGTGAAGGACGGGCAGTTCCAGAGCTTCTTCGCCAAAGGCTGCGCTGGCCTCCACGTGGCGGTGGCGATCTGGCGGTTCTGCTGCCAGAGGGAGGTGGAGGTGCTCGCCGGCGACTGGCTCAGGCTCGCCGGCGGCGACATCGCCCTCGGAGCTTCCTGGGTTTTGTTCCTCGTCCATTCTTGGACTGACACGTACGATTAATTAATAAATTAATTAATTAAATCTTGGATTTTAATTTGACTTAACTTCGGTTGTGTTTGTTTTCTATTTTGATTTGAAAAAGGTATTTGATGTAAAATATGTTAAATTTTGTGTAAATAATATAAAAATAATAAATTAAAAAAATATGTAAAAAAAATTTTGAAAAAAAAAAAGCAAACCCTTTAAAAAGAGGGTACAAATTAATGATAATAAGACAAAATTAACATTATAATGATTTGTTTTGTATTTGTACATATACTATTTTGTCACATAAAAAGAGTTTCTTTTTTCTTTATAACAATAATGAAATTTGTACATTAACAAAATATAAACACAAAATTCTAGATTTTATTTATTTATTATTATTATATAAAAGTATTAAATTAAATAGCTATTTTACTTTAAAAAGAGAAATTGAAGCCATTTCCTTTTACTATATGAACTTGTGTTGATTAAGATTTCACAAAGTTCCTATAAAAATTCAGATATCACATGTTCTATAAAATAAAAATACTAATTATATTTAAAAAGTATATTTTTTGGACTCTAAATCGAATATTTTAAAAATTTTTGATTTCATGTTATTTGAAAAAATCGTCAAAGTGTTATGTACTTTATAAAAGTATATTATATGTTCTTCATTCTTGTGTTAAATTTGTATTTTATATATGTATATAAATTATATGTTATTTAGACTTTTGATCGATGCTTTAAATAATAATAATGAATTATAGTTATTTTAATTTGATTCCATCTTTATTTAACAACAATAATGCAGATTAAAAAGGTCATATAGTCTTGCCAGTGTTCATATTTCTAAGTGAATATATTTTCATACAGAAAAGTAATGTATCAGTGATATACATATTCAATTGATTTAATTGAATAGGTAACATGTTTATTCATTCAATCTATTTTGAGTGATACAATTTTTTTTTTTATAAATATTATAAAAAAAACATTACTACCTTCGTCCACCACCGATCTATCCATTTGCATTTGGCGTCATTGTTTTTAACAATAAAAATATCTTTATATTTGTATAATTTTTTGTACAAATTTTATTTCATTAGTATTATAAGACACCAATAAAAGTATTTTTGTCGTTTTTCCTTAATTTGTACTTTTTTTAACATAATAATTAATATTTAAACATTAACATGCAAAAAGTAAATGAATAGATTGACAGTTGACGAAGATAGTATAATGTATTTATATTAACATAATATATATAATATCGATATTCTATTCACTCATAAAAAATCAATAATTTAATACAAAATATTCTTTTTTATATTACCGATATTATTGTCATAATTAACATTAAAAAATATATTTAAAAAAAAAACACAAACACAAAGTGGCCTGGTGGTGTGGGGTCGGACTTCTGACAACCCCGACGCCTCATGTCACATGCCACGCATGGCTCGCCTAGTGTTCCCACATCAATTAAAAAAAAAAAAAAAAACTTGTAAAATTAAAAAATCAAAATAATACTTTATTTTCTAAACATGCAATTTTATGAAGTATATACCTTAAGATCCAACTAATAAAGTGAAATAGTTTTTACACAAAATTTATGAATACTTACAAATGTAATGCTTTCTCTATTATCCAAACTTATATGTACATTTATTATTATTTTTTTATTGTTGTTATCCAAAAATATTATTATTTTTTTTAGAAAAAGAATACTATTTCTTTATTATATATATTTTTTATTTTTATATATTAAAATAATAGATAAGTTTAAAATAATAGTCTATCACCTCTATACATTTGAATTAATGAGACTTTTAAGTTCATATTTGACTGGACTGTATTTAAAACCACTTTCAATTTATATAACAAAAAGTTACATCCAAAATGTGAATAATCATTTGATTTTTTTGTAGGCTTCAAGAGAAATAAATTTTTATTTTTGTTAGGATTATATATTTATTTTACTTTGATTTGAATATTAGGTTGGATTTCATATTTGGTTAAAAAAAAAAAAAAAAAAAGAAAAAAGTGTGTTCTTATAAGTAATAAATCAAACTCTCAACTAACACACAAAAATGATCACTTTAAATGTAAAATAATAGCAATTAAAAAAATTTAAAATATTAGGGGTATATTCTTTTTATAGTAAGTTATTTTTTGTTACCTTTATATGAAATAATAATTGAATATGATATTTTATATATATATATTTTATTGAAATCAATAAAACTACATAGTGAAAATAATAATAATAATAATAATAATAATAATAATAATATAATATATATAAGCCAATGACTTTTTAAAAATATGTTTACATTTAAATAATTTAAATATAATACCCCTCCATCTAGCTAGTAGATATATATTTATTTTTTACAATTTTTTTTTTAAAAAATAAGAATATTTAAATTGCCTTATTCTCTTATTTTTTTAGTAATATAAAAGTTATGATGTAGTAATAAAAATGTTAAAAAAGAATATTTATATTAAATAGCAGAGATTCATACTTAATAAAAAAAAATATGCACGTTAGGACAAACAAAAATGATAGTACGAATATATATCGACAATAAAAACTTAGTCAATTCAACAAAACTAAAATTTTAAAGTACAAGATTAATAAATTTTTAAAAATATATATTTACATAGTGAAAAAATTCAGTTTGATGGAATACATCAAATCATGTTAGTTAGATTTAATCTCCATATGAGTTATATATTTATATATATATTCAAATATTTCTAATTATTTTGTTGAACCTAATTTGTAAGATATTAGATTCGATCGAAAATTTATTTAGTGTGCAATTTTGGGTAACGACTGTGATTACCACGTCATAAAAAAATAAAAAAAAATTCTAATCATCAAAAAATTAATAAAATTATTAATTATAGTCCATCTCATTGTTATATTGCATTTCGGTATATTGTGTTGGGCCGATTAAATTTTAGTCCGTCTCATTGTAGACAAATTCGCAAATAATACGTTTATCTGTAGATTTGGTGGATGATGGGCTAATCCGCTAATGGATCCATTTTTATAATTACAAAAGAATACAATGCATAAATCATAATATTTTTTAAATGTATATATAAAAAGGATTTATTTTTATTTTCAATAAATTTAAATGACGTGGAGCAAGTAACAAAAATGAAAACTTATCCGCATAAGGTGGTGGGCCGTGGGCAGTTGCAATAAATTAGTAGCAGTAATTATTATGGTGAGAAATATTGAAAAGAAAAATATTGCAATAATAATAATAATAATAATGAGAAAAAGAAATAAATAAAATCTGAAAGCGGAAAAAGTCATCACGTATGGACGTGGCCTACATGCAGAGGTGGGCCCTACAGCGCACGCGTCATACACAGTGGCATTATCGTAATTTTATCGAAATAGAAGGGCCTTATTTATCTCTAGGGCTCTGCAGCAACGCTGGCCCAAGTTCGATCCCGTCGTCGGTCTCGTTTTCTCCTCCATCGCCTTTCTGTTTCACATTTTCCTTACCAAACCTCTTCTGTTTTGTTCTGATCTAATCGCGCGGCGCAGTTCTTCTCTCCTGCTTCGTCTCTTTGTATGTATCGCCGTTGGGTGTGTGTGCGTTGTGTGTATGTGTCCAATTTTACGGATTTGATCTCTCAATTGAATCTATCTGTGTGCGCAGAGCGTCGGAGCCCGCTGCCGGAAGAACCCTTCTGTGTGGGAAGGAGGAGCTTTTTTTTTATCGGTGTGTTGTTTTTTGTGCCTGATGAGGATTGTACGAAACACGTCCGATCTTTCGTGCCCTAATTTCTGTTCGTGAAAATTTCAATTCTGGTGCCGTCTCATGGAATCGATCACACCTGTCTCTAGGTACATTTCTCAGAGTGCCAAGTGAACTGCCTCTTTTGATTTCGCCCCCTTTGGTTTCTTCCGTTTTTATAAAATTTTATTTCATTTGATCGGGTGTGATGGAGATTGCTATGTAGGAAAATGATGCTTTCTGGGGGAAGCTCATCGTCCCGGTGCAAAGAGGCCGAGATTTTGGGTATTTCTCCGTCGTCCGCGAATGGCAGTTCTGTATCCAAGCCGTCTAAGCAAAAAGAGGTGATATATCTATTATTTGATTTTCGTTTCTATTCTGTTCGTTGCTGTGGATCAGTGTTTTTGCTAGTTGAGATACCCCAATCGGTTGTGGTTTTTTTTGGTAGCCCCGATGATTGTCTGTTTTATGCACTTCGTCGTCATTAAGTGGGGTTGGGGTGCGCTGCATCGGTTTGGTTATGTGTGTACACTTCTTTTTTACTACTAGTATACCTTTCAAACTGTGTATGGAGAAAGTATATGATTCTGATCAAGGCCTAAAATTGAACTTTATTTGGATGTGACTTCAATTTTGTGTTGCTTTACTGATCTTGCATTTCATATTGGTAAAATTAAGTATGGCTGGTGCTTAACAATAGGTCTATAGGGAGAAATTGAATGGAGTTGTATAGGGAGATTATGGCCGGTGCTTTGTTTGGATTGCTGATGGGTTGGAAAGGATAGATTTTTCTTCTACTCCTAAAGAAAACTAAGGAAGCAGCTACCAATTGGTTAAAAAACTTATTGTGTTGTCTTTTGGGGGCCAAGTGTTGCCATTTTGTATATTATAGGTGTTATCATTGTTACTAGGCCATCCTGGTGTTTGGATAAGTAGCCGGAATGCATGATTTACATCTATATGCTAATTAGGTTATACATAATTTTCAATCCAAGGGATAGGTGAGGTAATAATCAGACCTGCACTTCTCTTTTCAACTTATTAATTATTTCATCATCTCACTTTATTTCTTGGTTTAGCGCCTCAAATTTATTCCTTGTGATACATCTTAACCTACACCATTCTCTGTTTCTTGAAGATTATACCTTCTGAAATCATAGACACAGAAATGGAAGATGATGTCCGTGGACAAGATTTTCTCAGTACAGGGGTAGTTGGCGACAATGGCAAAGGCAAGGTACTCAAGTTTACTTCAAATTAGCTACTTATTTTACGGACATAGAGGTCACTTTCTCCTTCCATTCTTATTTTTGGTGGCCAATATTTGTGTATTAAAAGGTGTTGTTTCTGAATGTAGGAAACTTTGTCCAATTTTCCATCTGATAATAGTAATTTGGCAACTGATGGATCTGGGAGTGATGTTCAGATGTCTGATCATAGCAATGTAGATGATTCCAGCTCTAATCTCTTCTATGAAGAGGATGAATGGCTCGATACTTACTATGATGACATAGTGTTTGATGACTATGATGTTCTACAATCTCATTATGACAGCATGAATATTCCACCCGGAGTTGAGATGCCATTTCCCTGGTTGCCCGATGGCCCTCAAATCAGCGCCAAGGTTCCTGTAGCTGCTGCTAGTGGGTCTAGTAGTTCAAGTGCTCAAGCTAACTCAAATGATGCTAAAGCACCCTCTATGGACTTGAGCCCTTCCTCTCCTACGGCGCCAAAGAGATCACTTCGCTTAAAGAAATTGGCGAAACCATTGAACCTAAGAAGAGCCACCCGGTCCACTCGTCATCATTTCAGTGATATGCCTCCTAATTCACCTTTGGAGTCTGGTTTTCTTTCAAAGAAATATACCATGTTAAGTCAATCCCTGCATACAACTTCAGAATCACCACCAGAGGGCTCGGGTTCTCTGCCTCCGAAGTTTATGAAGGAATCTTTCGATTTTATAGGAAAGAGTAAAAAGAGGAATCCTCCATTCTCCTATTTCAATTCCCATCCAACTCCTCAATTTGGTCCTGCTCCAATTTTCATGCCCCCTGTCCAGAATCAGAATGGCACAACAAAGTTGCCTTCGGTTGCAATGAATACTGTGCATAATATAACTAGTGACTATGCAACTTCAACCACACTGCCTAATACACCTGGAGTGCCGCCAGGGTATTCTACTGTCTGGCAGGATATGCCCATGACTATGTTCGAAAACACTTCACCTTTTGCACCAATTGAAGCAAGTATATTCTATCCAACGGTACAGGCCTCTGCTAATTTTCAAACAGCTGAACTTCCACCCCGGATAGGGCTAAAGAACTTGGATGAAATCCTGCGGAACTTTGATCAGTTTAAGAAATTTGATACTGTTGAAGATTGCTCGGATCACTTCTTCTTTAAGCAAGGTTCTGTCCCGGCTCAGGTGGGCAGCTTCAACGATTTTGTCCATTATATTTCATATCTTGTCAATTTTGTTATTCCATTTTAATGTAGTCTGCAATGATAGGCGCAGTCAACTAAACTTTGGGCCAAGAGGATACAGGAGGAATGGAAGATTCTTGAAAATGACTTGCCAGGTAAAAGGGTGGATCTTTTGCATATACTATTCGTTTTTTTATCCTTTCTCGGTTATTGTTGTTGATGCTGTTAACTGGAATGAAGTGATGAACTAAAACATTGAGCGCAGTTATATGATGTTTACACTGTACATCTCCCACTCTTTCCACATTGGGAATGCTCTTAGCCTTCTGTTAATTACTGTCATATATGTAGCTTATGCGTTCCTCTGTTACTTTCGCGGACAGATACAATATTTGTGAGGGTCTATGAATCCAGGATGGATCTTTTAAGAGCTGTGATCATAGGGGCAGAGGGAACCCCCTACCATGACGGTCTCTTCTTCTTTGATTTCTATTTTCCTATCGGCTATCCCAATTGTCCGCCTGTAAGTTTGATTATGTAATCGTGTATCTCAGTGTCTATATATGCATTGATGGCTTGAAGCTTGAGTGATTGCTTGGTTTGTATTTTTTGCAGCTTGTGCACTACCATTCTGGTGGCCTTCGAATCAATCCTAACTTATACAACTGTGGGAAAGTATGTTTGAGTCTTCTGAACACATGGAGTGGTAACCATAAGGAGAAGTGGATTCCTGGCGTTTCGACTGTATTACAAGTCCTGGTCTCCATTCAAGGGTTGATTTTGAATGCTAAACCCTTCTTTAATGAGCCGGGATATGCTGATTTGCTTGGCTCTGAAAGTGGAGAAGAGAAATCCTTGGAATATAATGAGCGAACATTCGTCTATTCTCTGCAAACAATGCTTTACGTCATTAGAAGGCCACCAAAGGTAGTAAGCCAGTAGCCAGATTACTTGACTGTTATTTAACTGTTAGCTCATAGACAAAATACTCGATAAACCGGGCTAATTAAATCATCTTTCTTTGTTGTAGTATTTTGAGGACTTTGCCTACGGCCATTTCTCCAAGCGGTCACAAGGTATTCTGGCAGCAGCTCAAGCCTACTTAAACGGTGCTTGTGTAGGTAGCCCGGTTAATGGAGGAAGCAGTGAGGGCGATGACAAGGCCAAAAAGAGCTGTTCGGCTTATTTCAAATCCAGTGTTTCCGACTTCATTCCCAGACTGACTGATGTGTTCTCCCGAATTGGGAAAAACAATGGTACCCAGAGTAATTGTTTATCGGGGCCGAATCCAGCTATCTTGGCGCCCCAGCCCCAGCGCTCCGCCTCGGCTAATAAACCTATAAAGCTAGGCTATTGAAAAATATGCTCTTGCGTTATTTTAGACCTAACTGGCGAACAAGTGCAGGGTTAGAATATGCCTTGTTGCTTTTATTTGGATGAAAAACTTGAATGAACGAATGAATGAATGTACATATGAACAAGGTTTCAGCCCTTTGCTGTTTCAACTAACGAATCTTCTTTTATCGTTGTTAATTTGAACCGTTTTGGATACTTTGGTTTGAAAGAAAATAATGTCAGTAGTAAATCTTGCAGGAGTTTGTTGTTTTTTATTAAATAATATATATTTATGTCTGTGCCAATGATTGATTTGCAGTCTGCAGATACATCGAATTGAATTTGTCTGGAATGGCAAAACAATAATAGGGCATGGAAGACAGTGTGCAACTGTAAGAGGTAGCTATGCGGCGGCGATGACACGAACCTCAGTCTTGAAAAGGAGGAAATAAAGGGTGTCGACGGAGAAGTAGAGAAAGCCGCCAGGGGAGTGGGTGACGAACGAGCCAAAGCTTTTTCCGGCGACGCAGTGCCATGCCGGACCGTACTCCGAGTCGAATTCCTGAGGGGTGGTGGTGCTCTCAGATCAGTGGTCGGAATGGAATTGTAAAGAAAAAGAAATATACCTTTTTAAGGGATCGAGCCAGGAGTGTGGGTTTACGGTGGCGGTGGTGGAGGAGGAGGGCGCGGACATGGCGGATGGCGCGTTCCTGCATGGGGAAGGGCATGTCGGCGGATCTCAGTCGTATTGGCGGCGGCGGCGGCAATGGCGTCTCCGTCTCCTGGTGGTGGCGTACGGAATTGTGGATGTGCCCGATTTGATCCTCCATTGGCGTTGGCATTGACGCACACGGAAAGCAAAGAAAGGTGTGTAAATGAATGAATGAATGTTCCAGAAATGTTGACTGTCTGACTCTATCTATCTAGCATCATCTTCGTCTTCATTATTTATTGAGGTGTGTTTTGAAGGATTTTAAGAAATTTATACTGCCTCCGTCCCATGTTGTCGTTAGTTATCTTAATTTATAAAAAAATTATATTATAAATTAATTATTTTTATTAATATATTTTTAATTATTTACTAAATTTTTTTTTTCAAAAATATCAAATTATATATTTATTTTTTATTTATTTTTTATTATATTAAAAATTAATTTCATATTCAAAATATAGTATTAATATTTATTTATATTATTTTATACCATTATTCTAATTCAATATTTTTATTATATCAGGAAAGCATTTAAGTCCCGACACATGTGTTTGAATCGAATCTGAATTGAAGGAGAAATAGAAAGGGCGAGACAGCCAATGGAGTGGTTGGCATTTGGGAATGGGACCCACACACTACACCTCCTACTTTGACTCAATCTCTCAAAATTGTGAAATGCATATACAAAAAGTCCAAACCATAATTGAAAAAAAAAAAGTGTTTGAAGTACTAAGAATTAACATATTAAAAGTAAGTAGAACATTATTGTTGTTCGTCTAGAAAAAGAAGAAGTCAAGTAATAGAATTTCAGTTGAGATGTTCGAACTTTTAATAGAAGACAAGAAATATAAGATGACTTTTTGGATTTGTAAAATAATTTTTTTTTAAAAAAAAAAAGAAAGAAAAGTAGTAGTAATAAAATATTCTTTATTTTTTTAGTTTATTTGTTTTGTGAAATAGTTTGAAATATTAAAAATATAAAAGAATTATGTAGATAATATAAAAATAATAAATAGGCATAATATGTTAACTTTTAAAGAGAAAAAAAAAAACTCATTATAAATTATATTTACAATGATAAATATATATATATATATAAACAAAGTATTGTGAATTTTATTATCCTATGAAACACAAAGAATATCGAGTTTGTTTGTTTTCTATTTGAATTTTAATTTAAATAGTATTATGATATTGTATATTGTGATATAAATTAATACATATAATAATGAAATGGCTAAAAAACATAAAATTGAGAACAAAAATCCAAACAATGAAACAAACATGTATTAAATCAACACTCCCTATTTGTTGCCGCTGTTACTAATTTACAAAATTCATGATAGTGCTATCAAAATATAATATAATAACAAATAATATATGAATTATGTTAATATAATATAAATACAATATGTAAATTGACAATACATGATATAATCACAAACAACATATTATATAAAAATAGATAATACATTATTTAAAAACATATAACATATGAATTATATTACAGGACAGACAACACATAATATAAAATCATACACCACATAAATTATGCTAATATAATACAAATAGACGACAACATATGACATAATTTTCTACAATACAAATATTGAGAATTTTAGACATTTGTGGCCTAATCCAACTAGTACTCCTATTCCCTTTAACCCCGCCCAAACTTAGTGTGTGGTTAAGTTAGAAATTTTGCTCAGATCTTACTATTTATTAGATTTTTTATTTAAAATATTAAATTAAATATTATTGTTCATTTTTCATTTTATATTAAAAATTAATCTGATATTAAAAATATTACATAACATATATTTATTTTTTTATTATGCGACTATTCAAAATTCAAACACTAAATCGTAAACTCCCAGCCCAAAAAATGTTAAGAAAATAATGATCGAAAAAAAAAAAAATGATTTTATACAGAATGATTGTATGTATTTTAAAGTTTGAGAAGAAAATAATTATACACAAAAATCACACCCACCCACACATTACTCATGTATGTTCTGAATAAGTTTCAATATATATTTTATAATTTGAATTTTTTTTGAGTGAAATTTTATAAAATTAAAATATTAAAATTGGATTTAATTCATTCGGATCGGTCCACGAACTCCACGCCCAAGATCCAATTTTAATACAGTATATGTTATGTTATATGAAAACATGCACGGTTTGATTGCTTGGTGCTCGATGAAAAAATCAAAACTATTCTTAATTTTTATCATTTCAAATAAAAAAATTACAAGAAATATGAAGAACGATAATATTACAAATTAAATGTAGAATCAACCAAAAAAAAAAAAAGTAACGGATATACAAGTGTCAATCAGATTAAATGTTGATTATAGAACTAATCAATACAATATTATTATAATAGAAAGGGACTATATTTTTCTTGTCCGCTATAATTATGTCAACTTATTTTTTATTCATTAAACTTATGTACGATCTATTTATATAGTAAATAATATTATTATTTATATTTTGACAAATAATAATTAATTTGTTATTATTTTTTAAAAAATTATTGTATTTTTTATGATTTTTTAATAAATTTCTTATAATATTTCTACTTTACCTTTTGTCTGTTCTACTTTTATATTAAAATATATAAACGTGGCGGACGGATGGAATAATTTATAGCAAACACAGTCTAAGTGTTTGTTTAAATTAATTACTCCTTCCATTCTAATACAATAGTCTTATTTATCATTTTTGTCCGTCCTAAAATAATAATCTTATTTTCATAAATAATCATATCATCATAAAACTACCCTTATTTTTTCATTTTTATTACACAATTGCTACTATTTTTTACACTAATAAACTCACAAGGACAAAAAAGTCTTGTATCTATATTTTTTACCAACTACTAATATAATATCAATATTTTTTAAATCTCGTACCCAACTCAATTAAAACCGTAGTTCTCGATCGAACGAATGGAGTAATATTTTCTGACTTGTAAGTGTGTATGTTGAAAGATGTTTGAATAAAATGGTTTCCCCATGTTATATGAAAGATAGACTTGCATTTGGGCTTTGAGGCCCATATGGTGATGATTAAATGGCCTTAAAAGATTTTACATTCTATATTGTATTGTTAACTTTATTAGTATACTCTATTTTAATATATCCATTAAATTTATATCCATATTGTAGTAAAATATTAGGTTGCGTTTGGTTGTCAGTTAAAATTTGAGTTTGGTTAAATTTTTTGTGTTTAGTTCTAAGTTGATTTTTGTAATAATAATGTTTGACTTCGCACACATACTTAAAAAAATATTATAATAGAAAAAGAATACTTTGGTATAAGTTATAAAAAAATACTAAAATAAAGTATTCTGATCTTTTATATGTGTGTATATATATATGATTTTGTGCGCCCAAGATTTTTTTTTTATGCGATTAAATAATAATATATTTGTAATTTAAATAAAAATTAAAAGTATTTTTTTATTAATATATAATTATTTTAAAAGAAAATTAAGAAAATAATACTTTGAAATTGTGGGACACACGAAAATCATAAATATACATAATATTTTGTAATTCAAGAAAATATATTAAGCTATTTTAAATTTAATTAATTTCAACCACGTGCTTCTAGAAATGATGAATATCATTAAATAGTCGGGGATGTTATGTGGATTGTTTTCGAACACACATTAGTCCACAACAAACCTTTTTAATTACATAGTCAAGTTGTCTTAAAGTAATATGGATTTATTATTTTATATCTTATATAGTACTCAATGAAAAAATAAATAAAAATAAAATTATTTATATTTTTCAATAAAGATACACAAAATTCTCTCACAAAAATGGTTAAAAAGCAATACAAAACATTTTTACCGAGCAACATCACAAATTTTCAATAATTAACAATAAAAACTATAAAATCTTGACACTGTAAAATAATACTCCATCCGTCTCAGATACCATGTCCACGTTGTCGTTTCTATCCGTTCCACATACCATGTCACTTTCTTTTTTTAAAAAATGATTACACAATTTAATCTTATTTTTAATTTTTAATTTTTTTTAAATTTTAATTAAACTAATTAGTTATCTTAATCTTAATTTATAATTATTTATATTATAGAATAATTATTTTTACTAATACATTCTTAATTATCTACTAATTACACCCCTTCTAAAATACCGTGTCTACATTGTAGCAGACACGGTATTTGGGACGGAGGGAGTACAATCTATTGTTTTTATGATATAAATAGAGGCCTCTACACACTAAACGAGTATATCTAAATATGTTTTTAAATAATTTCAGTGTTATGAATTATTTTGAACATTGTAAAATTTTGAATAGAAAATTAATAGTATTATTAAATGTTTTATAAATATATTTTAGATTAGGATTTTTGGATAAAAAATATTTATTTGATATAATATTTTAAATAAATTAAAAAGTATGTAAATATTATTTATAATAAATAAAAAAACACATATTTTTTGTTAGGAGTGGGTGTTCAGGTTGGGTAATTTAGGTCTGACCCGACACGATTGAGTTCAGTTTCATCGTGTCAGTATTTTTGAAAAATATATTCCCATCGTTCTATATTCTAAGTATTTTTTTTATTTTTTTATTTTTAGTCCGTCTCGTAACAAACTATTCATTTATATTTTTTAGTAATTGTAGTATCTACTTAACATTACAAATACCTTTACAATTTACAATATATTATACAAATGTCATTACTTTTATATCACACAATACTAATAAGGTTATTTTAATAATTTCAATTTTATTCATATTACATTCTAATATAATACTAATATTTCTAAAAATTCTTGTAAAAAAACAAATTGATACATAGTTATGGGACAGAAGGAGTATAAATTTTTTTTTTTTTTTTTTCTTTCAGCAGTTAGAGTGTTGATTTGGTTAAATCATCACTGTGGTTATTTGACCAAATTAACACACTAATTTGAAACAAAAGTATTTATAAGGAGTGTGAGTTATATATTGTGCTATATTGTATAATATACTTATGATGTATAAATCACAATATATTGTACTAAATAAATTTATATAATAGAGTATTATGTTATATATTGTGTTAATATTTATTGTGCGTTGAAAAAAAATATATTGTGCTATGTGTAATTATATGATACACTATTAAAATATGTATTATATACTCCTTCCGTCTACTTACAAAGTAAATATTTACTTTTGGTGCGGTGTTTAAGAAATAAAAATATTTTAATTATAGTGGATAGTTAAAAGTAGTGTAATGATATTTTT